GAATTGATGTATCAAATGTACTAATCTTTAATGACCTAATTAAATTCCATTGTCCCAAAATCAGAATAACGAGAGAGAGAGAGAGAGAGAGAGAGAGAGAGAGAGAGAGAGAGAGAGAGAGAGAGAGAGAGAGAGAGAGAGAGAGAGAGAGAGAGAGAGAGAGAGAGAGAGAGAGAGAGAGAGAGAGAGAGAGAGAGAGGGATATGTGTAACATTTCTTTTAATCTGTCTACATACATTTTACGAAAAATTTATGCATAATAATATTTTCACCTAAAATTAAGAATTACAACACATATACAATACAATTCTAATTAGTGATAATAGAAAATATGTTACTTATAAAACTACACACTATTAATTTCAGATTTGGAAAATCAAATTTTTTTGTGATGTTGCAATTATAAATATACACAATAACTACCTATTGATACTGAAGTTACTTTGTTTCATCTCCTCCATGTAAAATATTGTATACCAGCATTTTTCTGTGCCTGATGCTTCACCTCAAAGACGGTGGTCTTATGATATAAAATCTATTACTTCTAAAACTTTGTATTATTAAGTCCATAATTTGAATCTGTATATACCCGCACAAAGTGCGGACCGGTCACCTAGTGTTATTTAAATCAAGCGAATTATTTTTATTGTTTGGAGGTAAGATAAAACCAACCATGGATGATTTACTCAGAATCCATGTAGTATATATTTATATTTATGAAGGTGGAACTTTTGACTCCCCTCTAATTTTTCTAAAAAAAAAATATCACAGAAACGTATTTAAAATATTTAATTCCTACCTTGTGTCGTCAACAGCATTTAATTCCAAAGACTAAGACATGAAACAATTATGACTATAGTCAATGATAGAAAATACCAACCATTTAATCTAAGGAGCACAATTTTTTTTTGTCCAATAATGACGGATATTAACTTCTTACTAAAAATTTATTTAACTAGAATTAGTTAATAAATTAATAAATGAGAAAATAACCATTAAAACCTAAATTTTCAAATTAAGAAAAAAATAATTTCAACTTTTTAACTTGTGTTTAAGTCAAAATTCTCTCAATTTTTAAATATTGACAGTTAAAATTTTCATATTTTATTGACTCAACCATATAAAAATTTTGAATAGTCAGCTATTAAACTCAAGTAACGATTATTATACCAAATACAATAACACATCAAAAATATTTTTGTTTAAGAAAAATTTCGAATAAATTCATCTTCCTCACTCAAAAACCTAATTTCTAATATGATATCATCTTCTCCAAATTGATTTAACTGTCAATCGAAAATATGAAAATTATCTCTAAAATCAATTTGGAGAAGATGATGTCAAATTGGAAATTAGGTTTTCAAATGAGTAGGATGAAGTTGATTTAGGATTCTTTAAACATAATAATTTTTAAAACGCTGTCGTATTGAGTAGAACAACCGTTACATGAGTTAACCGTTGTTTTTTAGATTTTTAAATGGTCAAATTATTAGAATATAAGAATTAAAACAACTAATATTTAAAAGTTGGTAAATTTTTTTTGCTCAAACATAGATTAAAGATTTTTTCTTTAATGTGAAAGTTAGGGATTTTAATGATAGTTTTCTCATTAATAAAAGGAATACAAAGAATATATATATATATATATATATATATATATATATATGAAAGCATTCATACTACAACAAAAATATTAATGACTGCTGAGTATTTCATTTGATTTTTTGTTATATAGATAATGATTGATAAATTCTTTAAATACTGTTTATTGTAAGTGACACTTCTAGTCTATTAATTTAGAGATTGGTTTTTATCTACTACTTAAAGTTGTCATTTAAATTTGGACTCTTTCATAGTTGTTACTAGAATATATCATGTCTCCTATAAAATACAACCTACCAATTTAAATTAAACGAAGTCTAACTGATATAGATCAATTGAATTTAACTAATTACATCTTTAAAATATTTTTGGTTATCTCTTAATATAAATAGATTGTACAAAACTGAACCATAGGAGAAAAATGTCCAACTCATTTATAACGTATTTTCAATTAAAAAATTAATGAGATGTTCAACATATTATATATATGTCAAATATATATATTACACAAAAATATATATAATATTATATACACATATTATATATAACATATATTAAAATTAAATTTTGACAAAATAATTTCTGCCCTTTAGGGCGGGTTAGAATCTAGTTCATAATTAAAACAAAGAGTATCATTTTACATTTTTTAATACTATCATTCAAACCTGGCTAGTACTGTCTTCATTATTCAGAATTAACTTAAAATGGAACATTAGATTACTGTAGAGTTAATATATGGATATCTAACTTATCATCATCCATCTTTGACATCATATTTTCGCTATATCTTCTTGAATCTTATGTTATAAGTTCAACATATCAAATTGACGGCACATGCGAATTAGAAATTGACGGCACATGCGAATTAACAAAAATATGTTGTACAGTGGATAGATTCATGTAAAACAAGCTATACATTTCGGTTGATGCATATGTTCGTTTTACAGAGATTCACTTGATTTCCTTTTTTTTTTACAATCCAGCGACGGTGTTGTAAGTACCATAAACAGCAAAGAGCAACCCACAAATCACGATGAACACATCAACAGATTTGTTCCATAGAGTTAGCGATGGACCGAGCAGCGTGAGGTGATAGGAAGCAGGTAACACAAATGAAATGAGTGCACACACAGTACTTCCAACCAGAGATGCAAATGTACCAAAGCCAGGGACTAACGACGCGATTGCTGCGAGTCCTACCACCAAAAGCGTCCTCGTGGTGAAGATTACGTATCTGGAAACTGAACCTGTCTCGTTGCTGTACTGATGATGATGATGCTTTTGAAGGCACTTGATCCTCTTCAGTTTCTGCTCTATGATCTCGTTAAGCGGATGTACCATGATGGGAAATGTAAACGTCAATCCCACACATAAGCCAATCTGTATAAACCGGAAAAAGATAAGCATTGAATTTATATAAGGTAAGATTCTTTTTTTTTTTTGATAATCCGGGATATCTGATGGGAGCCTATCCACCAGCGCCAAACAAACCCGATTGTTCGCAATGGGAATTAGATATTCATATCGCACGGCCACACAAGTGAGTAAGCAGGTAAATCTGAGTTTGGTAGGTTTCGAATCCAGGGTGCTTAGCACCATTCCAAACCCGATATACCACTTGACCACACTTGTGTTGTTAAGAGCATGATTAATGGGGGTTCTTACGGCAGGGTTCTTAGCAGAACATAAGAACCCGTCACTTAATTTTTAACTAAAAAAGCTAAGTACCGGCTCCATTAATCATGCTCTTAGATTCTTAACATGATCAAGACACACTCATAACCAAGACAGAGCATATGAATGTAAAATCATAACAAAAAAGTTTATATAAAGCATTAGAAACACTCAAAATGTCATAATTTTTTACCTGGACAGCAATGGCAGACCAATTATTTGGGAGGTTAAGAGTGATGATATCCTTAGTTTCATCTCCATAAGCCATATAACCACAAAACCCAAACAACATGTAGACAAACGTAATCCCAGCAAGCACTTTCCCTAACAACTTAGGGAAAGCTTCCCTCTCCCTCATAGACCCTTCAAGAGCCAACGTCATTGCAAACCCTTCAAAACAAAACACAGCAACTCCTCCAGCAAACGGTAAACCACCAACTGTAGAGGCAATAGCTGTTCTGTCACTAAACGAGAAGTCTCCACCAACCACCATCTCCACGTTTTCTTTAACAACGAAACACATGGCTATGATGTTGCATATATCAGCAAAGATGCTGAAAGGCGAGAGAGCTGATAAAGAAGTGATCCAAGACAATGCAACTTCGATTGGAACGAGAATCAAGATGAAAGAGACCATGTTTAATCCGTATGAGCTGAATATCGATGACATGTTACGTCCTATGAACACTAGATACGCTACTGATCCACCGCATTGAGCAGTGAATATGAGGAACTCGGTCAGGTATCGACCTTTTGTTCCCATACATTTAAATCCTAAATCACCATATGTTTTGGAGTCTTCTTGTCCTTCTTCTGATTCTAGCTTGTCTCTGCATTGAATCTGCAACATATGCACGTTGATGTTTCAGGATATCACAAACAATTTTGATAATTCTTGGGTCTTAGGTCAGGGTTTTCAGATTTTCGGTCGGGTTTTCCAGATTTTCGAATATTCCGTACCATATTCATAAATTCTATTCAAAATTTTCCTTTTTAGCCTGAAATCACCCAAAATCCTTTAAAAGAAATAACTGAACATTAACAAAAAAATAATCAAATATATGTTTCCTCTCTCAAAAGAGCAACATTAGTTGTGTAATTTAACCTTCTTTCAAAAAAAAAAATCAAATATATCAATTATTCAAAAAATTCCGATAAAAGCTAGTCAACCTCCATCAACTAACTAAACTTATTAAAAGTAAATCCAAAATAACCTAAAAACTGGCAAACAATTACCAAAATCTTCAAAAATATTAAGTTATGAGTTATGTAAACAGATTAATAAGTGTATCATATCCAAAGTACCTAGCCTTTAAACAACATTTGTTTTTTCCTTCTAATAACCGTTTAGATCGTATTCAGGTTTTTCCAACTCGTATTGATTGATTTTAGCTACAAGCGCATATGCCTAATCATGCTACCAAATAAAACCAAATCAAATTTCATATTAATGAAATATTGGAGAAGGGAACTAACGAGGAGAAGCATGCAGTAATACGTGGCGAACCCTACGATAATGACGCCAAGAGATCCAGCAAACCATCCCGCGACACGAAATGCATAAGGCAAGCCAAGGACGCCTGTTCCAACGATAGATACAATAATGTTTCCAAGCGTCTGAATAGCCGACGTTCTATCTCCAGCAGCTGCAGACGGAGAATTCATTAGAGGAAGAGATGCATCGTCGTTAGCCGCCACGTCCTTGATCGCCATCGTCTAGTTTTTTTTATTGTTTTTTTTTTTTTTGGAGAGCTTTCTGGATTGCTCTCCGACAATATGAAAGAAGACGTACGAGCTCGTCTCGCTGCCTTTCTTTATAGGTCCCGCCAAAGATTATTCCGCTATGACGTGGCATCTCTGAACGTCCCACGTGCGTACCACGCGATCCGTGGATAGATTTGTGTGCATATGAAGCCAAATACAGTATCCTTGCATTTTTAGTTTAGCAACGATTTGTTTCTGTTTTTAAATGAAAAACTCAGATTTCAATAATATTGTATACTGTGTATGGTATCAATGATATGATAATACTGTTATACTATGCATTATTAATCTTGTCGTATATCATACTAATATGAGGAGGAAAACAGGGCGTCCATTGTTACTTATCATGTCTGCAACAACTCAAACTAATAATTTTGTTAAAGATAATGTTGATGTACATACTGCAGAAACTAAATTACGAGACAAATATTACAAATAAACACTTATATTTTATTAAAAATTAATTTAAACAATCTATTACAAGATTTACTTAATTTAACTTTTATATGTCTGGTGTTAACATCCTAATACACGATATTGAAAGATTTTAAGTTACACTGGTTATATCTCTTCTCCATCAAGTACTTCAGCACGACCCAAGAACATTTTCAAGAGCTTTTTTCTTTCTATATAAGATTAATCTCTGTGTCTCTGTCTTTTTTCAGACAACTCCATACCTATCTTATAGTTAGTCTCCATGTTTCTGAAACTTTAGTTTCTAAGTGCATTTTCTTTTTCTTTTTGGAATGAACTTAGAGCATCTTCAACGGTGTTATCCAGTCTTTAAAAATGTTTTTTAATTTTTTAATTATTATTACTTATTTTGTTTAAATTTGAAAAAAATAATAATACCAACCAATTGCAGACCGCCACGTGTCGCAGAAACCCATAAATAGTGAAGATTCACTAAAAAGAATTCTTATTTAGAGATTTTAAAAATTGAATCATTAACTTTTTCTAAGATCTACTAATTATTTAATTATTATTTTTTAAAAACTCCTTCTTAAAGATCCCTGTTGTGAATGTTCTTATTCTTCTTCCATTAAATCATAAATTTGATTCTCAAGTTTATTCATCTTTATATCTCCAAGATATTTCTTTGCTCTCTAAGTCTACACGACTCCAGCTCAACATCTTGATTTCACATAATCTTTATCATTCAACACAATAACTACTTCAACAACTAAGTCATTAAAGTCAAACTCCCTGCTCCTCAATCTCTTATCCTCTCAACTCTCTCCTCTCGTTCCAAGAATCACCGGCATCGTTTCAAGCTCCGGCGGTCGTCTTCTAAGCGTGTGACCGTCGGAGGTTCTCTCCCCTTTTTCCCCTCTTTGTTCTTTGTTTCGATTTACCCTTTTCTGACATGCCGTCGATATACGTGGTGTTGTGGCCGGAGCTCCGCCGCGGGTTCCTCTACATTCGCTCCGGGGGAGTGTAGATCCGAGGTTTGTGGGTTCTGTGCTGGAAGATCAGTGAGGCGGTGGGGGTTTTGTGGTGGTCGGAGTCGGCGTTTGGGCGTTCAGTCTGCGGATCTCTCTTTCCCTTTGTAGATCCAGCGGGCTGGACAGAGCTAGTGGCGTTTGGTGGTTGTGGAACTCGTTTCTCTGGTTACAATCTTTCTTTATCCGGAGTTCTCTTCGTCGTGGAACGGGGTTTACAGCGTTTCTCTTGACGGCGACTTGGCGTCTCGTCGCTTTAAAGGTTTTGTCTTGAGCCCAAGGAAGACGACGGTTTTGTATCGTCGGAGTGTGCACGGCGGTGGATGCGGCTGTGTGGTCATATCCTCCTCGTGATTCCGCATTTGTAATCGAAGTCCAGAGTTTCAAGAGCTATCGTCTATGGCCGCTCTTTCTCTTCACGGATATTCCTCTTCCTTTGTTCGTCATCGCCATTGCAGGGTCGTGCTCTGTTCTTCAAGTTTAGAGCTTTCTCAGTTCCGCACAGTCTGTTGATTTTCGTCTCTCCAACGAGGTTTCAGCGACTGTGCGCAGTAAGACCGAGGCATGTTCTGTGTCTCTGGAGTAGGGATTCGATGCGGGTTTGATGGGGTCTGTCAGATTTCGTTTTGATGTGGAGACCTTCTTGAGTTCTCAGCCATCCCAGTACGTGGTGGTTCACTTGAGCTTCCTCGTAGGCTGTTCTCTTCTTATTGCAGGTACTGAAGATAACGTTTCCTTGCTGCCTCTCTCTCAGCCACGTTTAGTCAGTGTCCATCGGGTTAGGTCTGGAAGCTGCTCTTAGGTATGCTTTCTTTTTCCTGATCTCTTATCGGCATCTAGAGCTTAACGTCAGTGGAGGCGAAAAGTTTGGGAGAGTTTATCAAGAACCAGCTACTCTGATGATGGCACGGATGTTCCGGCAACCGAGGAAACGAGGTGAACGCCACCCGCTCGTGGTTACCATTGTCGGTTGAGAACGGGAATCGATAGTTTAAGATTCTTGAAGCTGTCTAGCGGAACGCGCCGGTGTGGTGGTTGAGCGAAGCTAGTTAGGTTTGGAGTTGATTTAGACTGTTTTGCTCAAACCAAACTTGTAACCGAAACTTGAGTTCCCGTTTTTTGGGTTTATAAATTAAAAAAAAAAAAAAAAAAAAAAAAGACTAGGTCATTAACTACTTCATGACAAACATTTTACATCTTTAGATAATTCTTTGAACTCTGACGTATATAAGTGCTTTTATGTGTCACACGATGTCAAACCCAATACATGCCGTATGAGGAGGGTTTATCTATTTATTTTTGGAAATGTTTTGTTTCGTGTTACTACTGATTTAGTCTACGTAATTGACTTTTTGTGTTATAGAGAGTTTTGCTTGTATATATGTGGATTTCCATCTCAGCTTCTTTTCTGTTGGATCTCAATGTGTCACATATATATAGAGAGAGATTTGCTGTTGGTATTAAGATAGGAAACAAATCTTGGGATTAACTAGTTAGAGGATCTCTAATACACCTCTATATTTGCCTCACAATATCATTTACCACCAAAATTATTCTAATTTATTTCCGTTTCTTTTTCTAAGAGAAATTATTATATTTATAGAGAAAGAAATATCATATATCTATATGTTACTATATATTAGATATTGTATTTTAGGATTTTTTTCTATTTTTAGAAAAAAATAACAAAATACATTGGAGATAGTTTTAGTGGGATTATTGCATATGTCATCATCTTAACTAGTTAATGAGATTATTACATATGTCAACGTTAATAACTTGGCGAGATTGTAACATGTCAACGTTAACTTCACAAATAGACATGATACATGCTAGTACAATTATTAATTACATCATCATGTTTTATCAAAACAATAGTGACAAATCTGCATTTGACACTAAAACGTTATACGATACAAAGCAAAAGACAATGACATTTGTTCAATTGGACCACACACATTTTCCACATTCATCAAAACAGTTCCATCTAACATTGAATTTTTCAATAACCTTGATTCCATTCATTGACAAAAACTTAATAACGGCTAGCTCTAATTAGATACTTGAACATAAATTTAGGAACACCAACAAATCTAGGAAAAGGCCTTAATCTACCGAATATCCAGAGATTTGAGCGCTCTACCATCCACCTAACACGCCTAAACTTTAACCATTAAAAGATTAAAAATCTCTAATCAAACAAGCTTATATCAAAGTATCTTTTATTGGACAATGAAAGACTAAACTGTGATAAGATGTTGTATTTTTAGTTAAAGGAAGCACGAAGACAATGTGGGTGATAGACACAACGAATAGCATGTATAAGCTTTCTTCTTGGTCCAACGGCTAATGCACCCATTTGCTTAAGCTTCTCCATTGTCAAATTCGCCATTTGAAACTTACTCATCCTCTGTCCTCTCAGCATCCTCTCAAACTCTCTCCCTAATCCTATAGACCCAACCCATTCGTTCAACCCTCCTGCTTTCTCAACCTTCTTCTCTAGATTCACTACTCTCAGCTTCTCGTTGTCCATAACCACAGAGCTGCACATCACTCTAGGAAACCTTATAGGCTTGTGACTTGCCCCACGGGTCCTGTGAACTGCAAACCTTTTATTCGGATCCATTGTACGATCTTGCAGTGATCTCCTTGGACCTGGAGCTTTCCTGCGATCCATCACTCTTTCCGGTTTGTCTACAGCTTGAAAATCAGCTGTTTCCTGAGCATCTGATACAAAGTCTCTCGGTTCAGCTTGTAGGTGAGGAGTTGCAGGCTTCTTTAACGTGCAATAGTCAAGCACAGGAAGAGAAGGCACCACTGCTTGAACCATAGTAGCTTTACGCGTCTCTTTGGCTCTTAACTCAGCTTGTGATTGAGAAGTTGCAGGCTTCTGCAAATTGTAATGGTCAAGTACAGGAAGAGAAGGCACCACTGCTTGAACCATAGTAGCTTTACGCGTCTCTTTGGCTCTTAACTCAGCTTGTGATTGAGAAGTTGCAGGCTTCTGCAAATTGCAATGGTCAAGTACAGGAAGAGAAGGCACCACTGCCTGAGCAAGAGTAGCTTTGCGCGTCTTGGCTCTTAACTCAGCTTGTGATTGCGAAGTTGCAGGTTTCTGCAAAGTGCAATAGTCAAACACATGAGGAGATGGTACCACTGCTTGAACACGAGTGGTTTTGAGCGTCTCGGCTCTTAAGGCTTGTGACTGAGAAGCTACAGGCTTCTGCAAAGTGCGATGCTCTGTTACTGAAAGAAAAGGCCCCACAGTGCTAGCAGCTTGTGATTGCGAAGTTGCAGGCTTTTGCAAAGTGATAGGTTCAGTTACCGGAAGAGTGTAAGCAAGAGTAGCTTTGCGTGTCTCCTCTGCTCTTATCTCAACTTGTGGTTGTGAAGTTGCAGGTCTCTGCAAAGTGATATGTTCAGTTAGCGGGCGAGAAGGCACCACAGTGTGAGCCACAGTAGCTTTTCGCGTCTCCTTGGCTTTTAACACAGCTTGTGGTTTCGAAGTTGCAGGTTTCTGCAAAGTGATATGCTCAGTTACCGGAATAGAAGGCACCATTGTATGAACAGGAGTAGCTTTGCGCATCTCCTCAGCTCTTAACTCAGCTTGTGATTTCAAAGTTGCAGGTTTCTGCAATGGGATGTGTTCAGTTACCGGAAGTAAAGGCACCACAGTGTGAACAAAAGTAGCTTTGCGCATCTCCTCGGCTCTTATCTCAGCTTGGGATTTCGAAGTTGCAGGTTTCTGCAAAGCGACATGCTCAGTTACCGGAAGAGAAGGCACTACTGTATGAAGAGGAGCAGTTTCATGCTTATCCGCTACTACATTTCCTAACACAGCCTGTGATTGAGAACTTCCAAGCTTCTGCAAAATGATATCTTCAGGTCTAGGAAGAGAAGGCACCGTTGTCTGAGAAGAAGTAGTTCCATGTATATCCTTAGCAATAACGTCTCTCAGCTCAACTAGTGACTGACAAGTCTCAGGCTTCTGCAAAACGAATTGCTCAGGTAGAGGAAGAGAAGGCCCCACCACCACATGAGCACCTTCTTGAGTATCAGCAACAACAAAATCTCTAAGCTCAGGTTGTGAATGAGAAGTTGCAGGCGGCTTCTCCAGAGTTAAAGGCTCAGTTACCGGAAGAGAAGGCAAGACAATGATGACTCTCTGCTTCTTAACAAAAACCCAACCGTCTTCTTCTCCATCAAAACCCAGCTTGGAAGAACCAATCCTGTTTGGTTCCAACTGTTTAGGCCTTTGCCTCGCCATTAAAAACCTGAGAGAGATCTAAAACAACAGTAAGCTAAAAGGGTTATTATCTAATTCATCACAAGAACACACATTTACAACAAATTAATGTCATAAGAATCACATTGGAACCATAACAGACTATGAAGTTTATTATTTTCTTCAGACGTTTCCAAGAATCAGAGCAAACGAATCGAATTAAAGAACTTGTAAACCTTAGTGTAAAATCATGAGAGTGGTTAAGAAAGAAATTAGAATCGAAGCAAACCCAGTGAATCAGAGAACGCTAAAACAAAACCCTAGAATTCAAGTTTTAATTTTTCAGCAAAATAGAGGAGAGATTTGGGGATAAAGTCGGCAACTTTAGGATCCAAGAAGCGGTTAATAAGCAAAAGTTTGTACCTTTGAGTTTCTGATGTCAGTGAGGGAATGACGATGACTATCGTTGAGCTTTGTCCTTGATGATCGGAGGGAGTATATCTTTTTTGTTATTTTTATTTTTGCATTTTCGGTAATCAGTTTCAGACACACACTATTCAGTTAAAAACTCAAATTTCTTAGTAATATATTATTTTAAGAATAAAACATTATCACTAAAATGTAATAAGATTTTTTTATAATTATTCACTAACCATTAAAAATAGCTAATGAATTTCTAAGCTTAAGCTTTCTAAGAAACAAAAAATATATATGTTTAAAATTTTTATTTACGAGTAACATTTTGACAAAATACGAAAAACTTATATCGTTAAACTTTAAAAAAGCAAAATAAGTTTTTTTTAAAAAACAAATCATCTTTACGAACTCATAAAAATAATTTTAATTTTAATACTGATCAAAATAATCAATTTTATCATCATATAATGTCTATTTCTATTTATCATCAGTAATATAATTTCCTATACCTTATTTAGTAAATGATTTTGTTATGTCATCATACAATAATTTTGAAAAAAGTTGATGACATTACATTCTAAAATGATAAAACGGCTTGAAACTAATTATGATATATACATTTACATTTAATATTAACTAATATTTTTGGTAAGTTTTTGAAAATATGGTAATAGTTCATAGATTATTATTAATATAATACTAAATAGTATAATAATAAGGTATAATAATTTCTTACAAGTTTCCAATATTATTTAATTCTAGTTTATAATTATATAATTTTATTATTAAAATAATTCTTCCAAGTTTTATATAATTTTGTAAAAATTGTAAGTTTCTAATCTTAGTACCATTAGCTTATTTTAAATATCTATAATTTTTAAAAGTATTATCTGTTTTGGTTTTGATAGTTATATACCTTGGATTTTTTTATTAATTTTCTAAAATTCAATTAATATATTTAACCAAAAATAAAGCAAATTTTTGCTAAGATTAGAATTTAAATATATACATATATATCATTAAATATAATTAAATAAAAAATTCTTTAAGTTTTCTTATAATTAAATTAATTAAATATAATAAGTTAATAATGAATCTAAAACTAAATAAAATATATATATATAGTTTAGATTTTAAATTTTTTATTTCTACACATGTTACATGAAAACACCTAATAATGTTACAGGTAAAGATATTATGATGTACATTTGGCTGTAATATAGAATTAATGAATATTTTTGATTGGTTGGTTCTCTCTATAGAATATGATCACTATAAACGGTTCTATACACAACATGATAAATCAACCTCTAATAAGTTAAGGTTCTATATGCAACATGATAAATGTCTAATAAGTTTGTACTCTATAATCTATAAAAAAATATTTCTCTGAAATCAAACCTTATATATAGTGAAGTATTTTAACCTCTGACTTCTAGTATACGGTGTTCCACACCAAAAAAAAATTATTCTTTCTATAATAAGAAAAAAGCATCTAAAGAGCATATACACCTCTAAACTCTTTGTACAATGCTGTAAAAACCATCCAGATCATACCTCCACCATTTACTGTTTTCTTTTCCAAGTAATAAATTAAAAAACACCTCACATACACAAATCTCAGCCGCTCATCTTAACTCAATCACCTCATCCTGAACGTTCATTCAGCATCTGTCTCCTCTCCTCGTATCTTACCCAAAAATAACCTCTTTCCCAAAACACGAGACAGAGTCAAAATGTCATAACACACAGAGAGAGAAGACTCCCTCCATGAATCAAAAACCCCTTCCACCGATTAATAGAAAAAAACCAAACAAAAAATCAAAACTTTCTTCAAACAACAAAAAAAAAAAGATTTTCTTTCAAAAACCAAAATTTTCTTTTACATAAATTTTACAATTTTATTCCTTCCATTTACGAAAAAAAAATCCGATTTATATAATTTCTTCCATTTACAGAAATTGATTCTGTTTTTCTCTGACTCCGTCTCTGTTTCTGGGTTCGTCGCCAAGAGGTAAAAGCTTCAATCTTTCGTCTTCTAATAGCTTCTAAATGATCTAAATTCATATAAAGTTTCATCCTTTACGCAGAATTGTCTTCACCTTCATGTCTCACATTCAAACCTTTTAGGCCTTCCTCTGTTTTTTTTGTGAGAATCTTCAAATAGCCTCTTATAGATGGAATCAGAAACAGAGTCCTCTCCTCCTTCAAGAGATCTAACCCAATGCTGCGACTGTGAATGCCATTCCTCTCCACGTCCCTTAAACCGTTCTCTGAAACGCAGACACAACGACGAGCTCGACGGTTCTTCATCAAACCCTAAAGTCCACATCGAGAACGAATGCGAATTGCTCCGAGAAACCGTCACCAGCCAACAACAATCAATCCAGGAGCTCTACGAGGAGCTTGAGAAGGAGAGGAACGCTGCAGCTTCAGCTGCAGATGAGTCAATGAACGTGATGCAGAGGCTGCAGAACGAGAAAGCAGAGCTTCAGATGGAGCTGAGGCAGTACAAGCTTTACGTTGGGGATAAGATGGAGCATGATTTGCAGGAGATGTTGGCTTTGGAGGATTTGTTGAATCAGAGGGAGCAGACTATAATGGCTTTGACTTGTGAGGCTCAGGGTTATAAGCATAGGATGATGAGTTATGGTCTCACTGAGGCTGAAGCTGAAGGTGAGGAGGAGGAGGAGGAGGATAAGAGTTTGTTGTTGCTTAGTCCTGATCCGAGTTCTGAGTGTGGGGGTCTTTATCCTTCTTTGAAGTGTAGTATTAACGAGAGTCAAGATCATCTTGAGTCTGATGTTTATGTGGCTGATGATGGGAAGTTCCCTCCTGTGAATTCGCCTTTGAAGAATTTGGATCAGAGAATCAGCGAGATGGAGACGAATCCTAGCTTTGGTGAGCTGGATGGTGGTTTCTCTAGTGGTGTGAGAGAGAGGGATGTTAAGGAGAAGATGGTTGTTGGTCAGAGTCCTAGGCCTCAACGACATTTTAGGAGGATGTCTACTAAAGAAGTTAGGCTTGATGCTTATGTTGAGTCTCCGAGGTCTAAGAATGTTAATGCTAAAGATGATGACTCTTCTGATATAGGAGATGACATGAGTGATGATAGAGTTTACACCATTGATTCTGTACATCACGGTGTGACTGAGCAGAAGCTTGAGGCAGAGACTTCTGATGGCAGTGTGGTTTTCCCTAGAGAGCAAATGGATCTTGGTGATCCTGATATAACGAAGCTTTACATGAGGCTTCAGGCACTTGAAGCTGACAGAGAGTCAATGAAACAGGCGCTTATTTCTATGAGGACTGAGAAGGCTCAAATGGTATTGTTGAAAGAGATTGCTCAGCATTTGTCAAAGGAAGTTGTGCCTCAACGGAGGTTGCCTCTGAGGAAAGTATCTAATGGTGGGTCATTGCCTTTCACGCCAGTCTTTAAGGTGATTTTTGCAACTCTTCATCCCAATTCATGGTTTGTTTTGAGTTTTTGTTAAGACAAAGCATACTAATAGGAAGCATATTCTTTTAAAGATGTGTCTCACTCTCTAACTGGTTTCTTTTGGATTATTGTTGCTATGTAGTGGATCACATCTTTTGTTTCATGGAAGAGAAAGGCTCGTAGAAGCAAGTAAGTAGATCTTATTGCATTAAGAAGCTCCTTGTACTAGATAATAATTTGTTTGTAAAAAGAACTTTATACAAAGATGATGTTGATCTCTTACACTAGAATCTTCTTATATATTCCAAACACAGAGACATTGTTTCTTTTGATAGTTAGAAGTTGATGTTGGTATTTTGAACTTACATTAGTCTATGTTGCAATGAAAATGTGTAGGTACATGTATGGGATGTCAGCAAACAACATGGGACTGCAAATGCTTCTAGAAAAGGTCCCTAGATCAAGGAAATGGCGATGCCTCAGGAGCACGCAAGTGTAACACAGATCCAAAGCCAAAATCATTCTCCTGACACTCTAGATTTCCAAACCACATAAAAGTATTAAGTACTGATGAATTTGCATGTCGTTAAGTGTGTGTGTTTCTCTCCAACTCGAACTGGGTTAATCTTGTTCTTGGGTTGCAGGGAAAAATGTGTCTTATGCAGTTTTTTTATTCATTCTGTTTGGCTCCAATGTTTTAACTGTTTGTATAGAAAAAATAATGGGGTTGAAGAATGATTTATAACTGAGATGCTACACAATCTTTGTATTGTTTCTAACATGTGTTGTTTTATTGGTTTTTTCATATTTTGGAGATGGATACATCGTCATGTGTTGTTTTAATGCGACCATCCTAATTCAACACCTTGTCTTATTTATATCATAAGTTTTATAATCTCCAAAACAAATTTTTTTAGGACTAGTAGAAGACATGAAGTGGATGTTATAGCTCTCAATGTACCATCTAAATTGTAAATTTAGAAATTGAGTAGTGCAGAGGACATGATGTTAAAGTTAGATATGTTCTTGGTCGTCAGGCGCATAACAGCCCACCATTTAGGAAAGACTCTCAAGTCTCCGTACCTGTCGTATATTTAGAAAGAAATGCGTTTTCAGAATGTTCTACCTGTACCTTACACAAGTCAATCGTATACGATGATGCGTACATATACCAGACAACCAATAATATTAATGGACACGAGCTTAATGCACTTAATTTATTTTCTCATGAGCCTTTATGTGGCACAATTCAATTTGTCACCCACTTGATTTCATGATGTGACCCAATTTTCTTGTGGTAAAATATCTCAGCCAATCTTATAAATATCCAAAATTTCCACCAAGAACTTAGAAGACACTTTAAAAAAAGAACTTAGAACACATTTATTGCAAGGATGAATTTCAAACACATTGTATAATAAATTTATAACAAAAATTAGTATGCCTAAATATAAAGTGGATATCTCAAATCTGAAAAACATTATTATTTTTATTCATATTAGTTTGAGAATCCCATTGAGAACTTTGCAATATGGGTGTTCCTATAAAAACGTAGACTTTGCAACATTGATATCGTTATGCTCACCAATTTGAATATAATAAAATATCGTATATAAATTATTTAAGAAATCAAATTCTACGTCTTAAAAAAGTTACAAGTCTTATTATTATCATTCTTAGTCATTTATGTTGACCTCCAACTAACAAACATAAAATTTCCGTGAATACTAATAGAGATGTTTCTTTTTTTTTCAGTTGAAAATATAATTTTCTTTTTGTCGACCATCCAAAATCAACCTAGTCAAAACAAAAGAAAGAAACTATCTTTTTTAATTAAAAATTTTCGGGAAAAGAAAGAAACTATATTATAGACTCCAATGTAGTACTTAACTATATTCATAAAACACTGTACCAATAAAACATGTTACTAACCCTAAACAAATAAAACTAGGAGATATCTCTTTATGAAAAATAATAGTTTAAACAATTTACATGCATGATTAATGATTTCATTGACATTAAAAATACACGTGTCTCTGTCTGATAGTCTATATGTTTAGTGGCATTCAAAGCGAAGACCATTCAGACAAAGTCTGTCCGCAAGTAAACGCAGCCGCCATCTCTTACCGTCCACCATTTGTTATATTAGTATCATTTATATTATACACACAATAACTTTATTACAAAACCATAGCATACGTTTTTGCTTTTTTTTTCATCAAATGGATCATGAAGAGGAGGAGGAGATCGAGATTCCTAACTACTTTATCTGCCCAATCTCACTAGAGATTATGAAAGACCCAGTCACGACCGTTTCTGGCATCACTTACGACCGTCAAAGCATCGTTCAGTGGCTAGAGAAGGTCCCATCATGTCCCGTGACGAAGCAGCCTCTTCCTGTAGACTCCGATCTTACGCCTAACCATATGCTTCGCCGTCTGATCCAACACTGGTGCGTGGAGAATGCAACGCGTGGCGTTGTGAGAATCCCTACGCCTAGAGCTCCACCAGGGAAGCCTAACATCGTTGAGGAGATCAAGAATCTCAAAAAGTTTGGACAAGAAGGTACTATGTCGGTTTTGTTCGGTTATTTCTATTTTTGGTTTGATGTGGCAAATTTTAGTTTGGTTTCGGAGAAAAGAGACTAAAAATATCAATGTTTAAGAAAGCGTCAGTTAAAGACATTGTATACAAAAAGGTTTTTTTTTTTTTTAATACAAAAAAGTTTAGTGTATAGGCTGTATTCTTATTAGAATTCTCACTCTTGGTGTCTGTTGGCAAATGATATGTTTTGTATATTGATTTTAGTGGTATAATTTAGTGGTTTAAAAGATGGTTTCATTTAGGAGAGTGGGATGATCATGCTTTCGAAATGGTGAAATGTGATATTGGATTGATTCAGATAGCATAGAATCCTTGTAAGTATTTATAGGTGATACTAGATCCCTATATTGTATGTGGGATTAAAATCTTGTGAGGTTGTAATTTCGTTACAACGAATTGTTAATAAAAAGTTGAAATTGAACAAAAATCTCTCCCCTAACTATTTTAAAAATAATATTTTATCCCATTTATATTACTCGAACATTCAAAAGCACCGTTTATATCTACTAGACCAATGTTCGTTTAAACATGTTTATATCGATTTTTAGAACGTTTAAGCATGTTTATATCGATTTTTAGAACATTGATTCAGCTGGACCAAATTTAAGTTCATGTCGGTTTTTTAGCTTTTACTTATGATACCGATCGATTAAGATTAATATTTGGTGTTTAAATTGAACAGCCTTAGGAAAAGAAGATACATTAAAGAAGCTAGAAGTTTTGGCTCTAGAGGGAGAGAGTAATAGGAGACTGATGTGTGAAGGAGGTGTACATAAGTATTTGATCTTGTTCGTGGTCAAGTGTACTCGTGAAGAAGAAGAGGAGGAACAACGTCGTATCAAAGGGAAGCTAGAGGAGTCTCTACGTCTTCTCCACTTGATAGGTGTTCCATTAAACGAGGCAAGAACAATCTTGATCGAAAATGACCGGATCTTGGAATCGTTGACATTGGTCTTAAACCAACAAGACTTCATGAACAAGGCTTATACTATTGTCCTCTTGAGGAACTTAACTGAAAACACATCATCTCATATCGTGGAGAGATTGAGTGCCGAGATTTTTAGAGGCATCATAGGGTTTGTCAAAGATGTAGTAAGTAGTTTCAATCACGTAAACCCTAGCGTGTGCGCTACGGTACAACCATCAAACTCTAGAGTGAGACACAAGGCACCATCAAAACTTGATCATAGCGTGGTTATTAAACAAGCTGTGACCGCTGCGCTGATGATTCTTCTAGAGACTTCTTCTTGGAGCCGGAACAGAACCATCCTTGTGGACCTTGGTGCGGTTTCGGAACTTATTGAACTGGAGATAAGCTCAAAGGGTGAGAAGAGAACCACGGAGCTTGTGTTGGGAATTTTGTCTCGTTTGTGTTGTTGTGCAGATGGTAGAGCCCAGTTTCTTGCACATAGAGGTGGAATCGCGATTGTGACGAAACGGATGTTAAGAGTTTCAGCAGCAGCAGACGATAGAGCTCTCTCTATACTAGGCACAGTGTCCAAATACTCGCCGGAAAACGAAGTGGTGGAAGAGATGGTTAGCGTCGGGACGGTGGATAAGCTTTGTTCGGTCCTAAGGATAGACTGTAGTGTGAGCTTGAAGGAGAAAGCGAAAGAGATACTTAGAGATCATTTTGATGAGTTGAAGAAGTTTCCATGCATTGATGTAACGCTGCTTACTAAGCTTTTGAATTCTTCACCCAAAGATTTACTCACTGAGTATTACTCACGAGTTGGTGTTTAACACACATTTTCACTGTGTACCCACAACAGTAATTATATGCATTCAAAGAAAATCAATCCCTCTATTGATCAGTTAGATCAAGTTTTAGTATAATCTAGATGATGATGTATATAGTAAGAGATAGAGAACACAAAAACCACACTGAAATTATACTTGAAACAGATTGTATGGACATACGCCAAACAAACACAAACACGACACTAAAGCCTTTTGATTTGAAGATCATCAAAATTCAACAAAACTAAAATTCAGAGATAAAAAAATCTGCAAGTTTGACACTAGAGAAGAAAACTTAACGCCTGCGCATACCACGACCACGGCCTCCACCGCGTCCTCTTCCCATAGCGGCAGCATCTCCCTGTGCGCTCTCAGACTGCAATTTTGTTATAAAATTATCAACACGTTATATAAACATTCTCAAAACATAAAGAGAAAAAATGAAAATAAGAGTATACTTTAGGGTTCTTCACGGTTTCATCCACACTTAGGATAAGGCAAGCTGCTTCAGTTGCGGCGTTTATAGCATTAATCTGCCACAACAAAAGGGACAAACCGATCACCAAGAAACCTTTCTATGAAAAATATTCACACAAAATACCAACATTCCCAGGTAGACATTTTCATAATTGGCACAATAGTCACAGAAACAGAGAGTATAAGTTTATCGAATCTTGCAATACCTTCACAACTGCGGGTTCCCAGACGAAGTTAGCAAATGAATCGGCGATTCCACCAGTGTTGATGTCCACTCCATAAGAAGCTCCTTCACCTGGTATAACACAAGACATGATAGCATCATCAAATGAGATTTACTCTGCATATCAAAAGATTGTTACATCAAGATTGTGAACGTGAACGAAGGGTCACCGCTTTGCATGGCGTGTTTTTGCCTTAATTTATTTAGAACATCAGTTGCATCAAATCCAGCATTGTCACATAGTTGTCGTGGAATAACCTGTGATACATCACAACCGGTGTGAATTTAAATATTTTTCTCAGAGGCAAAGCAACAAATTTCAAAACCCGGCTTACTATCAATTCGGAGCCCTACTTAGTAGTTTACCAGATTTCTAATTTTGTTTGTACATAAGAACGAGCAAACGGAACACATCTCCACTCTATCAATGCCCTAAAACACTATTGTACATAAAAACGAGCACACAGAAAACATCACTCCTCTATTAATGCCCAAATAACACAGAACACACCTACACTCACCTTAATATTCGCATAACAATTATAGAATTCTCAGAAATCAGACGGGTAAAAGCAAATCCAAGTCAACTAGAAGTGTACCTCCAGAGCCTTTGCATACGAGTTGATGAAAAGCTGTGACTTCCCAGCAATCGTTCGTGAATGCTGCCTCAGGTACTTGCTTACTTCCATCTACAACAAGGAGCAGTTTCTTTCATTTTCTATGTTATAACCCATGTGCAAAATTTTAAAAGCTATGAAGGATACTCACATCTATAGCTCCACCTCCAGGAACAACAGTTGAGTTCTTCACAGCTCTTCTCACAATCATAATAGCATCATGTAAACTCCGCTCAGCTTCTTCGATGAACTGCCATTAACGTTTCCAAGAAAATCATATCAATGCTAATTCTTTTCGTTTTAACTAAGCCTCCAATATTTGATGTATACCTGATCAGCACCACCACGGAGGACAATAGTTGCTGTACGTCCTGAAGGGCAACCACTGAATATGTTAAATCTCTCCCCACCAACTTGTTTTTCCTCAAATATCTCACAAGTTCCGAGAACCTGTACATTGCACATATAAAAACTGATTTAAAGGAACATATTCAACAAGTCGCTGAAAGCATGTTAGCATATCTAGAAAGCAAGAAAAGAGATTTATTTTTCACTAGCCTCGGGTATTATATTGTTAACACTAGTCTGAACTGTTCCTCCAGCCGCAGCAGCCACGCGATTAAGATCTTCTTCTGCTACACGGCCAGCGCAAAAAATATCACGATCTGCAAAATACTGCCAAAAAAATGCCAATATATACTCAAAGATGTTGAAAGATATCTCAAGAAATAAAGAAAGATGTCAATAGCCAGTCGAGAAATTAGGAATCAACAAACCTGAGTAGCTAGATCACCAATAGCCAATCGGGAAAGAACAACTTTGGCTCCACTTTCGACACATTTGTCTAGCTTGTCATAAATGATATTCCATTCTGCATCAACTATTGACTGGTACTGTGATGGATCTGACAGCCTGTGAACAAATGACAGGAGTCAAGTCAAATCAGGCAAAAAGATGCTCAAGTGACGGGAAAAAAAATAGCAAAAAGAACCAGAATTCCAACCTAATCTCAGCGTTTTCCTTCTCAGATTTCAACTCCAATTCGATGTTAAGCAAAAGGATTTTGGGATTATCAAACTTCTTCGGCTGTTGTTCAAAACCCGCATACGAGAATGTCTTTTTGAAAGCCACACCATCAACTAGGAAAGAGTCCCGCATGTTACCACCAGGAACCTGCAAAGAAAACCATAACATTAGCTTAGAATCATCACTAACCTGGCTTTAAAAGCATAAGCACAAATGGAAATTTCATTTGCAGGACTTGGATATTGAAAATTCCCAATCTAATACAATCTATTATAGATGTCAATCACTACTACCATGTAGCACCATGCCCATTCCCACTTCCCCAAATCTAATTGGAATTTGGAAATGAATTGCAGAGAATGGAGGCGAAATGAAGCAGATGATGCTAGTTGAGGTACATGGTTTCAACTAAAAACAGCTAGCAACGATGTAAGTGATATCCTGTTGAATTATGATGAAACTATGTAGAAATCAAATACTAGCTAGGGTATAGGTTGCACGATAAACAGAAAATAACACAAGCTGGACATAGATGAATAGTAAATAAAGAAAATCAAGTAACATGAACTTAACACCCAATGCAAGGCCAATTTAAAAGCCTCCAAAAAAAGTTTTTTACCTTTTTGATCCCAATCAAATTTAGCCTGTCGTCATCCCCTATAGCCATAACAGCATCAACAACCATAGTAGCAAAAAACTCCTTTTCTCCACCAATAAGCTTAGAGGAAAGAGTGGTAGCAGCACATTTAGCCAACAACCCTTTCTTCTCCTCCACACTCTTCCCCTCAATGCTAACAGCCAGTTCTTTCACCTTCGCAATCGCCTACAATCGTCAAAAAGTAAGTATTACAGTAACAAACAATCCAGTAACTTAATACAAAATAAAATAAAATTCAAATTGCACCAAAGAAAAAGAAAACACTACACACCAAAGTACTTGCAGTGCGATAACTCCTAATCAAATTCTGAGAATGAACACCATCCTCCACAAACGGCTTAGCCTCCTTCAAAAACTCAGCAGCAAGAAGAACAACAGTAGTCGTCCCATCACCAACCTAACCAACACAACAAAAAGGCATCAAAAACACAGAACTCACAAACTCAATCACACATTCTAAACAGTACCGGTCCTGACATGGAAAAGACCAGAAACAATTTTTCAAAAAATTAGCCGATTTTATAAGAACGATTATATACTATAATAATAATTTTCTTATAAAAAATGCTGAATTTTTCAAGTATTTTTTGAAGGCCGGAAACGGTTGCTTGTAATGCTTCCCCTCAGGGCCGGTAGGGCCGGTACTGATTCTAAAATCAGCAAAATGTATCCAGCGTCGATCCTCACTCAATCACACATTCTAAGATTGGCAAACAACTGTATATCCACGGCCGGTCCTGAGTCAAGCCTAATGAAATATTCGCCTTAATCCCCCCCCCAAATTTTTTTTAAAAAAAGTTACATAGATAAAAGGCACAAAAATTTAGTATAGACCCCAAAATTTGTAAAAAGAAAAAAAATTAGTTCAATTTTTTTCATAAATCGCCTATAGTCCCCTAAATCTCATGCCCGGCCTGACTGTATCACACTTAACTGGATCAATCTTTTTTCTTTTTTTTTTCAAACTGGATCACTCTTAAATAATATAAACACTAAAGATCCAAGATCCAGCTCAATAGTATTATATCAACTACTCAATTCCACACCTCCGAGTCTTGCGATTTGGCGATATCCACGAGGATCTTAGCGGCGGGATGAACAATATCCAGCAACTTCATGATCGTAGCGCCGTCGTTAGAAATGGTGACGGATCCCTTATCGTCGTGGATGAGCTTATCCATCCCACGAGGACCGAGCGTGGTTCGAACCACATCTCCAACCGCCGTGACGGCGTTGATGTTGCTTATTAGCTGCGCTTTCCCTTGAGAAGTGTCTGTGCCTTCTTTTAGAAGGATGATTTGCGGTTGCTGCTCACACGCACACACACAAAGTAGATTTGAATCAGTCAGTATCTGAACGTGTATTCAGAGAGAGAGAGAGAGTGGAGAAATGCAAACTTACCATCATCGACGCCATTGTAGATGCGTAAAAATGAGGTTAGGGAGAAGAAACGGGAGAGCAGAGTGAGATTTAGGGTTTACTTTTTTGGTCTTGTGTTATATACGAGTGACGCGATAATTTTAGATCTAACCGGTCGGTCGAACCGATTTGTTTATCGTCCAACCGATAAGTCTGGAACTTTACGGATATATATATATATATTTTTTTTTTGGTCAACATGCATATATCTTATTCGGATCCATTTCATTTTTTTTATCCAGCACCCGGTCAAAATTAGTTTTCATTGATTGACTCAACATAAAACCAACCAAGCTGGTGTAAATTTAGAGCCGTGCCTGAAATTTGAAGGACTCCAAACGAAAAATATTTTTTGGTCAATAATTAATATGATAAATATGCTAAAAAGATAGGTATGATGGAAGATTCGAACTTATGATCTATTGAATTAGATAGAGGAGGTAGAGATCACTAGACTAGAACAAAATAATTAAGAAATTTTGGCCTCTAAAATAATTAATATGGAAAAAGGCCCCAAGCTAATGCTTGGTTAGCTTGCATTCAGGAAAACCCTAGATGTAATCCACTTGTCTAAAGCTAAAAGGTCAGCGCAACAAATTGTAGTTTCTAGCTGACAACTACATTTATTTAGTAGTAAATAATTTAACTTATAAAATGAAGAAGCTTATATAATTTTAAACAGAATCTGATGTTAAATCTTAAGTAGAAATATAGATAAACTAGTGTGTAAAAGACATTGATTCTGTATCTTTTTTTTATTTGTGCACAAGACATCTATTCTGTATGTTCAAGTAGAAACTCGTAACTCGTGATGCGATGTTGTTAATCTTCTTTTTAATCTTGCCCACCTTAATTTTTATGATTGTAAATGGGCCTCGGTTCGGGCTAACTTTGGTGGTTGGTGATTTGGGCATTTAGGTTTCTCGTTCTCATTCATTCCAAACGCAGCATTTTATTGGCCTAACGATAAGAACTCGTACATAATTTTACATCTTGAAATGTCAATAGAAACAATTATTTCATTCCTTCTTTATATATGTTTTGATGTTTTATTTCGTTCTGAACATAGTAACCGTGTGCTGTACTACTTTAATCAGCTTACCATACTTATAAGCTACACGCTTTCACTTTCACCATCCCGTAACAGCCATCATCGTTACTTACTCGGAAGCTTCAAAGTCAACTCATTAAGTCCTCCTCTTTTGACCTCTTCCTCCTAAAAACCTTTTAATACGTTAAACAACTCATTTACACTTCTCCCCTCTCTCTCTCTCTCTATACCTTCTTCCATCTCTCAACAAACCGTGTAGTTAAACTTGAATCATAACGACTTTCCGTTGGATCTAAATCTCTCTCTCTATTTCTCAATGAACGATCTATTCTCAAGCTCATTCTCTCGCTTCCGCAGCAGCGGAGGAGAACCATCCCCTCACCACCACGCCACCACCACCGGAGGAGTTCAGATGGCTGGAGTCAACCTCGACAAATTCTTCGAAGACGTGGAGTCAGTTAAAGAAGAGTTAAAGGAGCTAGACCGTCTCAACGACACACTCCAAACCTCTCACGAGCAGAGCAAGACGCTACACAATGCTCAAGCCGTTAAAGATCTTCGCTCAAAGATGGACGGTGACGTTGGTGTAGCTTTGAAGAAGGCTAAGATGATTAAGGTGAAACTTGAGGCGCTTGATCGCTCCAATGCTGCTAATAGGAGCTTACCGGGTTGTGGACCTGGATCCTCCTCGGATCGTACTAGGACCTCTGTTCTTAATGGTTTGAGGAAGAAGTTGAAGGACTCGATGGAGAGTTTTAACCGCTTGAGGGAGGTTATATCATCTGAGTATAGAGAAACTGTGCAGAGGAGGTACTTTACTGTCACTGGAGAGAATCCGGATGATAAAACTTTGGATCGACTCATCTCTACAGGTTAGTAAATTCAGTTTGGATTGGGTAGGACCGCGAAAATTCTGATTGAAAATCACGAAATAAAAACGGTTGAAAATGATACTATACAGCAACTGAACAAATAGGTAGAGTTGAAATTTGTTATATTTACTTAAACTCAAACTGATATGTGTTGATATGTGACGGGTTTATGCAACATTGTATATTTTATATAATGTTCTAACTAAATGTTAGTTTGTATATTTTATATAGCTAGTTAAATGTGTATAGTAATTTAAAAGAAGTTGTTCTCACAGGTTTATATTTTATATAGCTAGTTAAATGTGTATAGTAATTTCTCGATGCGATTTTTGAATCCCAAGATTATAATTGCGTTGATACTATTTGGAATAACGGAAATAAAATCTACCATGTATAATTATGATTAGTTTTAACAGAACTAGTTAATATGTATAATAATTTAAAAGTTGTTCTCACAAGTTCATATATGTGTGGTGTGTAACATCTAGGGACTATTTCTACTGTTTTATTACAGGAGAAAGTGAGAGGTTTTTGCAAAAAGCAATACAAGAACAAGGAAGAGGAAGGGTCTTAGACACTATTAACGAGATCCAAGAAAGGCATGATGCGGTTAAAGACATTGAGAAGAATCTCAGGGAGCTTCACCAAGTGTTTCTAGACATGGCCGTGCTGGTCGAGCACCAAGGAGCTCAGTTAGATGACATAGAGAGCCACGTGGGACGAGCTAGCTCCTTCATCCGAGGAGGAACAGAGCAGCTGCATACAGCTCGGGTGTACCAGAAGAATACTCGTAAATGGACATGTTACGCTATTATCATTCTCATCATTATCATAGTTGTTGTGGTTCTTGCTGTTCTTAAACCATGGCAGGACAACGGAAGTGGTGGTGGCGGTGGCGGTGGTGGTGGTGGAGGAAGTCCTCAAGTTTCAGGTCAAGTGCCACCACCAAGTCCTCCTCAAGCAAGGCGTCTTCTGTTACGTTGAAGTGGGATTTGTAGTTTGCAAATATATTCTTTCTTTGAAAACCTTTTCATCGAACCAGCATTGTGTTTCTACTTACTACAGCTGAGATTTCTTGTGAACCACCTTTTTATTTGATTTGTGTGGGGGTAAATAAGAAACTTAGTAGATTATTTTCTGTATCTATGTTGGGAATATATTTGTTTTTTTCTTATATTGTTTGTGTGGTTAACAACACAAAATTCGTTTTATATTAAGTGTTGTTGTATAGTAAGTTTTTTGTTACAAAATAAATATCATCTTAAATTTTCAATACACTTTATGTCCATAATTTATCTCTTCTATTTTTACATAAAGTTTAAAATAATTAAATTATAATAATTAAATATAGGTAAACTAAATATTTAAATATTTTTAATTCACATGAGAAACCTAGAACAACATCTAGTTTGAAAGATGAAATATTAGTCTTTGTATTTTTTGAAATTTGAATATGATTTTTTGAAGTTGGAATATGATATTTTCCAAAAGAGAGTAAAGTAGAGAATTTTGACAAACTAGCAAAGATTTTCCAAGTAGGAGTCATTATTTAAAGTATCACAATGATAATATCAGTGTTTTTTAATAAAAAAAATTGGTTGATTAAGATGATTTGGTTTCAAAGAAATAGTTATCATTTGTTTTGCTTTAGATCGTATAAAAATGTCTCACTGGTTAGATTTTATTATTACATGCATTCGGTGACAACAATTATTCTGTCCTGATGTAAAATTCTTCGACACTATCATAAAATCTATAGCATTAAATGTGTTAACTATGAAAATTAATAGATAATAACTCCATTGTATTGACTATGATCAGGTGTACATGATAGTATATTGTTCTCTCAAGTTTGAACATAAATTGAAGTTATGTAGTACTCTTATTGTTAACAAGACTATGACCACGAACTATATTGTTCAACTCATGATATGAACAATATTAACAATGCATCCACTATCTTTTGGAAATTCAACTTCTTAGAATTTAAAAATCCAATACTTAAGATATCAACTTATCAGCAAAATAAAAACACATTGACTGATGCAAAAAAAAATATTTTGCCGTGTTCTATATATATTATCACAACCTCTCAACCTCTCTATACAACCATAAAAGAATCTGCAAAAGCAGTATTTTCTCAGACAACCCAAAGATAAAACTAAAAAAGAGTGATCATGCCAAAGAAGGTAAAGCTTGCGTTGGTGGCAAATGAAAGCTCAAGAGCATTAACCTTGAAGAGAAGGAGGTTGGGGTTAATAAAAAAGGTAAAACAACTATCAACATTATGTGATGTAAAAGCTTGTTTGATTATGTTCTCCCCTAAAGAGGTTGAGCCAATGGTGTGGCCATCTGCTGAGGCGGCTCGTAACCTCCTCAATGATTTCAATGCCTTACCGGATTTCGTGAAGAAGAATGAGACGACTCTGGAGTCGTTTCTGAAGGAGAAGACATGCAAGGTTCATGAGAAGTTGAAGAAGACTCAAAAGGAGAACATGGAGCGTATGGTGTATCAGTTGATGGTGCAACCAAGTTGGTCCCATAAATTTGATGATCTTGACGTGAAAGAGATCTATTCATTGATCTCTTTCACAAAAGATGCCATCATGCACTTAAGGAAGAAGGTGGGTTCTGTTCAGCATTGTCCTCTTCGTGATCCACCGGTGTATCCATTTGAAGAGCAAGTCAAGGAGAATGAGAGAGCTATGAAGACTTATGAAGAAGTGAACATGGTTAACAGTGGTGGTTTAAAGGAGAAGCAAAGCTACTACTTGATGGATGAATGGATTTTCCCATCTCTGGAGCCACTTTCCTCTCAAGATCATCAACAAATCATGATGAATATGGCATCTTACAACAATACTCTAGACCCTAGAAGTTATCATCCATATCAAGGAAGTAGTAGCAATGGAGACAATAATTTGGAGATGGAGCCAACTTTTTCACCAATGTTGGCCTTCCCTGATTTTGTTGAGCCAGTGTATGATCAATACTCTTTTGATTTCATGAGCCATGAGGACCAAAGCAACATTTACAAGAACAACTACCCTGTTAATGGTTTTTGTCCAGAGCCACCACCACCAGGAAATGGAGGAACCGCTGAAGAAGGTAATTTTGGTGCTAGCTCATTTGATCTTAGTTATATGGATTGGCCGGGAATTAACAATCATCATTTCTAGTTTTCTAAGAATGTATCATGTGTTAAGTTTGGTATGAGTTCCTTTGAAACTGTGTTGTTTGTTTGATTTTCTGTTTTCAGATTATGTTAATTTGTGTGTTGTTGTATGCTTTCGGATTTATGGATCTTTATTATCTTGTTATTTTGAATAACCATGATATCTAAACAATGTTCAAGAAATCGCTAGACGATGGTTAGTGGGACATCTAGACCGACTTTTCAAACGCCTAAACCCGATTATTTAGAAAACCGGACTAAGAATGTCGTTTGGTTTTAGACCCGTTTTGCTGACTGTAACCAACTAGACCAATTTTTAAAACAGTGTCTAACTATTCAATAATTCAACCAATGTCCCTTTGGGAAAATCAGAACATTGTATACTTAAAAAATATTGTACACTACTACCTATACATTATCAAATTTAACATATGAGTATTATTTATAAAAGAAAATTGATATTATTATAAGAAAAAAACTCAACTTCCAAGTATATATCTCACTATTAACTTCATGAAAAGTTACAATCCAAGTAATAAATACATAATAAATATAGCATAAAATCATGTGAGCAAGAGACCAAGAATTAAAACACACAAAAGCAGGAGAGAAATAATACAAAAAAATACAAAAAGTAGCAAGCTTACACACAAGAGAAAAAAGAAAACTCATCAGAAGATGTTACTGAACTGGCTGCTTAGTGAATCCTTTAGATTAGAGTAGAGGCCATAAAGCGAGTACTGCTGCAGATTAGCAACCTCGTACCAAGAGTTCAACGCGGTGTAATGCTTATCCGTGCCTGAAAACGCCAATTGGATCCCCAAGCTACAATCTACTTGTCCTCCTTGGTTCTTGCAGCTTTGTCTTTTGATTGCGCATTGTTCTTTGTTGAGGCACACGAATTTCGCGTCTCCAGTACATTTGGAGCATCCGTCTTTCTTCCAGAACAAGTTCTCAAGCCTGCCCTTTTGGAACTCAAGAACCTGGAAATTTAACCAAAGATAATAAAGATTTAACATAGGTGGATATATGTAGAAATTTCTATAAGATGAATAAGGCTTATTAAATTACAAGGGTGAAGCTTGTGACGACGTGATCGTTGTCTGCAACCATGATTGGAACTGATCTTGCAGCGTATTTTGCACCAGCGAATGCTACCATATATCCCTTTGAAGCATCCTGGAATCACCAAGTATCATCACGAAAATCAGTAATTATGTAAACTAACACACACACATTCAAAAACCTCTACTTCTAAGCAACAAGAATCTGACAGGAGTCACAGAACAAAACTCTGTTTACAAAATCTCATCTCACTAAAACAACAAACACAGAAAGAAACCAGACATTCCAAGAACAGACATTAGTCTCCAAAACCTTTATTACAGATGACAAAAGCTGATTCCAACATGCACATCATGACTTATCCCCTGCCGACAGGAATCTGTCAGAACAAAACTATGTTTACAACATCTCATCTCACTAGAAAACAACAAATGCAGAAAGAAACCAGACATTACAAGAACATAAAATAGTTTCTAAAACCTTTATTACAGATAACAAAAGCTAATTCTACCATGCACATCATAAATTAACCTGCTTATCCCTTGCCGACAAGAATCTGACAGGACAAAACTCTGTTTACAACATCTCATTTCACTAAAAACCAACAAATACACAAAGAAACCAGACATTCCAAGAACAGAGATTAGTTACCAAAACCCTTTATTACAGATGATAAAAACTAAATTAATCATACAAGAGATGTCGACAAAACAGACAACTACCAAAACCTTGTCAAACAAATCAAAGTTCCCAACTTTACAATCTGAGATCTTAACAAGTCAACTAAACTAAACCAATCTAAGCGTATAAACTCCGATCCAATCAACAATAAATAAATAAAAAACACCTAAAATTCACAATTATAGATCAGAGAGATGAGAACGAACCGGACGGTAACTAGAGGAGCTAGAAGAGGTGTTGATAGTAAGGAGCGTGATCTCGTCGACTTTAGGTCTGAACACGGCGAGCTCAGAGTTGCCGTTGAGAGAGAGGTGGCGACGATCGCAGGGAGAGTACTGAACGGAACGGTTGGTACCCAAGAAGGAATCTTTCGACGCGAAGGCGATTCCGAAAGTGAATCCATCGCCGATCGCGACGGTGGAATCTGAACATGGGGAGTAGACGTGGTTATCGTCTCCGGCAGATGTCAGGGATGACGTCAGCGCCGACGCGAAGAGGAAACAGAGAAGGAGGAATCTAGCCATCATGTCAGAGTAACTTCTAAAACTTCTTTCCCTCTTCGATTTGTTAATTTAATCAAATAAGCCTTTTAAATTATGGGCCTCATCACATCGGCCCAAAAGTATGTTTAATATCATATTTAATACTATTTAATATAGTTTCTTCTACACGTAATTACAGTCTTCTAAAAAAATGACATTGATATAATAATACGACTAATTAATAAAATTTGTAGAATTAACTAGGAGTCAATTAATTAATATGTACAGAAAAATATTTGTGTTTAGGAGTATTAGATTTCGTGTTGGAAAAGAGAAGGAATCATTTTATTTGTTTCCAAATAATTAAATATTAATTGTGTGCTGTATTATTAAATAAGGTCAAATCTGAGCTGGCAAATTACAACTACTTTTGGTGCCAAAAGTGGTAATAGTTAAAAAAAAAAAATCTTACCTAACGGTTTGTTCACTGCTTAATCCTCTGCCGTTAATCGCACCTTATAGATTTACTGCGAAATCTAAACCGTTCAGTTAGAGGAGGCAAAGACATGTCTAAATGAACGGTTAAGATCTATCCGACATGACTTGTGAAATGAGGAATCCTCTGATTCCGTATTTGTGTTCTGTCTCTTTGCTTGTTTGTCTTCTCGTCTTCCAATCATCAACATCTCAAACTCTAACACATTCGCTTCTTTGCTCCGAGAATCTATTAATCAATCATGTCGAGATTTTTGCTCGCTATCTCTTATCTTCTGTTCATCTCAACGATTGTCAGAGCCACTGATGTTGAGTACTGCAGTATGTACTAATCCTCCTAAAAGCTTAACTGTGTTTCTTCATTGATTCTTGATTTATCATATTGTGTCTTGTAGTGTTTTGATCGTTTTTCCTATGATTATTCGATCGTATTGAAGATAGTGCGTTGACCAACGATCCAGTTTTGGATAAAAGAACTAGAATCTGTATCTGATTTGTTGTGTGTGTTTGGTTGTAGATGATAATGCACAGTATCATGTAAAAGTCCAAGGAGTTGATATATCGCCTTATCCTGTACCTCGAGGCGAGCCAGTCACTTTCAGCCTTGCTTCTAACACAGGTACACTCAGCTTCTTTATTTCTTGTTCTATTCTTTTGATGTTTTGTTTCTATAAGAATTTATATATTTTTTTATCAATTGTTACAATTTTTTTGTGTTCTCAGAACGATCTTGCAAAGTTCTTATTTATTCATGCATCCAAAGTTTTATTATTATTTTTGTTTGATTTGTTTTTGTATTTTTGAAGACAATGTGATCTCAAAGGGAAAGCTGGTGATCGAAGTTGCATACTTTGGATGGCATATTCATTCCGAGACACATGACCTTTGTGATGAGACTAAGTGTCCAGTACCAATTGGAGACTTCTTGGTAGCACACTCGCAAGTTCTACCCGGTTATACTCCTCCAGTAAGTTTATTAATTTGAAGCCATTGTGGATATCATATAGTGACACCCTTATTCATTAGGCTCATCTGATTTTGATGTAACAAAACAAGTAGGCTAGTATCTGTCATGATTAGAGGGAAGAAGTTGAATCCTATATTTGTCAGGATTGCTTAATATGATCATTAGTTTATTATATGAATCATAGCAAAAGTTTGTTATTCGGATTCTGCATTTATGGAGGGAGTAGTCTAATTATTTTATTTCTCATAGGGTCCATACTCACTTAAAATGAAGATGCTTGATGGACACAAGGAGCTAACATGCATCAAATTCTCATTTGATATTGGATTTGGATCATCAGTGGCAGACATGTAGAGATATTTGCTTGCTCGAATATTATAATGGATAATTCCATTTGCTTTGTATAAAAACACTCTTTCTCTTTACCAAAATTGTTTGATAAAAAAAAAACATTTGAAATTTCTCAATCTTGTATTCTCTTGTTACACCATTGATAAGTCCCTTTACAACTCAAAATTTGACAAATCACTGGTATCATTCAATCTCTGTTTTGCTTTGTGTTTAGAACAAGTTTGGCATCAAATTTGGTAAATATTTTTGCCATGTCATCTCCCTCACTGAGCTTCTGGATTTATCTACTTTATGACTACAATGACCCATCAAATGAAGACTTCTTGAAAGCTTTATTTTGGTAACTTAGTACTCGTTTTGTTCTACGCTTATCTAATCTCATGCTTTGTTGATCTTGATAAAAGGTTTATCCCTTGCTCTTTTAATATTATCATCCTTTGTTGATCTTGAAAGCTTTCAAAGAAATGAAGTATATGAAGTAAAGAGTGGTGAAAACACTTAAGCTTATAACATCTATTGGGACTTTGAATCAGGCGATAACTCTCTCCACTAAAACAATCTTGATCGCATAATATTTTCATCAAAAGAGATGAATATATTAGTAGAAAATGCATCAAATTAAATCAAAGAGTTTCTTATATGCTATAACAAGGCAAACAACACTTGAAAAACAGTCTTTCAGCAATTGAAACAGTCCTAAACTATAGGTTTAGCAAAACTGGGCCTTACCCAAAACACTAAAGCCCAATGGGTTTTTACGCATGCCGACATTCAAGACACGTGTCATCCTCTGGCAGGCGTATGTATCTTTCACTCGCGCAGTAATGTCCTACCTCGTCTTCTCCCTCTCATCTCTCTCTCTCTCCGTCTCCGACATCATCGAAATCTCTCAAAGGTTTAGTCTTCCCTCTTCTTTGTCTTATCAAACATAACTTTCCCTCTTCTCTCAGTTCCATCTGATTACTTTAATTATATTGATCATTTTCTCTCCAAATCAAAAACTCTTGTAAAGGTCTTACCTTTTTTCACATTAACGATTAATTCAAACATTGTAATAGTCTTAGTTCCGTTGACCTTAGTGAATAAGATTCGTTTCAACTTTCATACAAACAGACCAATGTTTATTGCTTTATAATTCGTGTCTGAAAATGGATCTGATGTGTTACATTTATTTTCAGACAACAACATGGCAAACTTTGATGGACCAGGTTTCTCCATGGTAGATGGCGCTTGGGTCCAAACCAAAGCCATTGATATCGTCTCATCAACAGACATCTCTCCTTACCTCTCCCGTCTCCTAGAAGACTGCGTCTGGAACGGTAACAGAGCCATCGTCTTCGACGTCTACTGGGACGTCAAATCTATCAACGCAAAGTCAGAGTGGCGCCTCTCCTCGGTGAAGCTAAGCACCAAGAACTTCTGTCTCTTCCTCCGTCTTCCCAACCCGTTCACCGACAATCTCAAGGATCTTTACCGCTTCTTTGCGTCGAAATTCGTGACGTTTGTTGGTGTTCAGATTCAAGAGGATTTGGTTTTGCTTAAGGAGAATCATGGGATTGTGATTAGGAGCTCGTTGGAGATTGGGAAGTTGGCTGCTAAAGCGAGAGGGACTCCGATTGTTGAGTTCTTGGGGACGAGAGAGTTGGCTCATAAGATACTTTGGTATGATATGAGTAGGCTTGATTCGATTCAGTCTAAGTGGGATGAAGCTGGGGGTAATGATCGTCTTGAAGCTGCTGCTATTGAAGGTTGGCTTATTTATAATGTCTATGATCAGTTGCAGCAGTGATGTGTAGAAGTTACATTTTGTGTTCTTGATCGAATGGGGTTTGTGAGATTGCTTGCGCTTGATATTTTGATCTCTTTGTTGGTTGTTATGAGTGAACAAAATAATGTTGCTTGCGCTTGATATTTTGATCTCTTTGTTGGTTGTTATGAGTGAACAAAATAATGTCTGAATATTATAAAAACTATGACCGGCTTGTTTTTATTTGTTTTGTCTGTAAGAGCTTGATATCTTTTAGTGCAATGTCAAATGCAAGTTTAGATATTATAACTGGTCGGCTATATGATCTGGATCTAGATGCTACAAGTCGGTTTACGTTATAGCAGAGAGTTAACTCGACAATAACAAGTTAGTTAACACTAAAGAGTGTTACAAAAACTTACAAACAAGTAGATATGATGCCAACCAATAAATTGTGCCATCATTTCCTGAATAACCCCACATAAAGGAAAAAATTGTAATAAAATTGAAACTCAATCTGAGAGGATAACTTCGATCCGATTTGAAATGTACTATTTAGATCTATTAGACATAACTACGAACTCGATGAACTTATTAGCATTTTCGTCGGAAACTGAATTGTTCCAGAGATTATATAAAGATTCCAACGACGTGAATCTAATTCATATTTTGGAATTGTCAGACGGATTTATTAGCAGGAGAAGCAAAAACCAGAATTTATATTTGCTCCTATATAGATCAGACATGGACAGCCAGAAACTGGATTATTCCAGAAACTACATAAAAACTTTTAAGTATGTAAGGAATAGAAATTGTCAGGCGGATTCATTAGCAAGAGCAAACAAAAACAAAAGATTATATTTGCTCCCAAATAAATCAGACACGAACATACAAATCGGTTTTCTTACCACCATATTTATAAATGGGTAGTGAACAATAAATGGAACTCAATTTTCCTCTTGTTATTTATGTGATGGCTAATCATTTTAGCACTAGAAATCAATTAGACTGTTCAATACGTATGGTCAAATAATCAAATTACTAATTTACAAAGGTAGCGATGTTAAATTATTAGTTTTATCTAATGGATTGTATTTTTAACTATAGACAAAATTCACAAAGTTAGCAATTTTTTTAAAAAAAAAAACTCATTCCAAAGAAATTAATTTAGGGATTACCCAGAAAAAAAAAACAAACCAATCCAATTGAACTCAAGTCGACCCAAACCAAACCCAAACATATATCTAAATCATTTGATTCAACATTCTATCAATTCAAATAGTTTAATTTGGTTTGATTTTAAAATTTAATATATTTAACCATTTAATTTAAGCAACTAAACATATTTATATACATTTTACTTTTATATGAATAGAATAAACATTAACTAAAAATAAAATAAAATAATTATATTTATATTTGATTTGCAGATTATAATATTCAGTTATAGTATTATATCTTCTACATTTTATTGTAATGTTTTATTTTACAGTTAAATATGAAGAGAATAAAGATTTAATGTCAAATGATGATTTGTTATGTTTTTATAAATTATATTTTTTAACTGAATTAAGAAAAACAAAATTAAAAAACAATTCAATTGAATTGAACAAGTACAAACAAAACCAAACAAAAGATTAACTAACAAACCGAACAAAAGATTAACTAACAAACCGAACACAAACCAAACTATACTCATTTAGGTTGATTTTGGTTAAACTTTTTGTGTACCCAAATAAACTAAAACCGAATCTATAATTAAACCAAAATGCCCACCCCTAAAATTAAATGAGTAAAACTCAAAATTACTTGTTCTTATCACAATAATATTTGTTTTAGTTGGTGATAATAATGGAAATAACTAACACATATAAAATAAAATATTAGCTGGCCCAATCGAAAGAGCCACTAAAAACATGAAACTCGTGTATGTTAGGTGAAAAGCGTAACTGTTTTATCATATTTTGGGCCTATAAAATATCTGACATTGGCCCACCATCAAAGCATCTCTCTCTCTGTCCGCACATGTCCTTTCCTACCTATAAACCTGATTTCCTCCAACGGCCTCTCTATCTCTCTCCCTCACTCATCTAATCTTCAAACCTATTGCCGCAAACGGGGAAGGTATGTCTCAAATGTCCATCTTGAAACTGCACTGATCTGTTATCTTACAGTTAATTGTCGTATTAGTTTCTATTGACATGTTTTACTGTTTCAATTGCATCTCTAATCTTATGCATAATGAGAACTTGAGTTTTTCACAGTTAATCAATTAATGCCTCATATCACTAAAACATGTCTTCTTTGGTTCAAAAAGCCTAATTAAAAGAAACTTTATTGTGTAGTTCTTGAAACAGAAACATCTGAGAAAGTCATGACAATGACAGGAGGAGACAAACTTGTACTAAAAGGTTTAAAGTTCTACGGTTACCACGGAGCCATTCCAGAAGAAAACACTTTGGGGCAGACGTTTATTGTTGACATCGACGCGTGGGTGAGTCTTAAAAAGGCTGGTCTATCTGATAACTTAGATGATACAATCAGCTATGTTGACATTTTCAGGTTAGGCTCTTTTATTAATTACTACCATTTAGGTTAGGTTTGAACAAAGACGTTCTGATCCATTTGAATAATGATATTACTTTGCAGCATAGCTAAAGAAATTATTGAAGGGCCACCATTGAACCTTCTGGAGGCAGTAGCGGAACGCATTGCGTCTAGGACGCTTGAGAAGTTTCCTCAAGTGACTGCTGTTCAAGTGAAGCTGTGTAAGCCAAATGTTGCACTTATCAAGAACACAATTGATTACTTAGGGGTTGAGATTTTCAGACAGCAAAAGCACTTCTGATTCAAGGGAACTGATGAAAAGTCCTTGAAAACTCTGTGTTTCCAATAATCTTTTGTTCATACAAGAGAATTGTATCAGTGAAAATTAAAACTAATGGCTGTGTAAGACAACTTGGGATCTTTAATATATCATGTCATAATCTATGGTGTTAGTTTTCCACATCCTTGTCTTAACATAGTACATCTTGACCTTTTGATTTTATAACTGAGTTTGGAACACATGATTTTTAATATGTAAGGATTTTTGTTTAATAGGATATGGTTTTGAAAACTGGCAGCTAAGTCCAAAGAATTAGAACAGATATAAATAAAGCTTAATGCAAAGGAGATAAGATTGGAACTTCGTTTCGTTTATATTTCAGAGATCCTAGCCCAACTTAACTTCTAGATAACATCAATATACTCTTCAACATGCGTCTCTTGAGGCAGAATGTTGGAGAAAAGCGAACATGAAAGAGGGAGTCGACGAGGCATATGAGGTACCTCCCTCTTTGGAGATTGAGACAGAACCCTCTGGGATCCTTCGAATCCCGACCTGTCAAATTGATGCATCATGGATCGACCATGGCAGTGTTAGTGGCTTAGGGTGGAGTCTTAAGGATCAAACGGGCTACGAATGGGTCGGACAACGGGCGTGCAGGAGGAGCCGTTCAGCTCTGCATGTAGAGATGGAAGGCCTACTTTGGGCAGTCTCATGTTTGAGAGATTTGCGGATCAACTCGGTGAGGATTGAGACGGACTGCACGGACTTAGTAGACATGTCTACTAATCCGGAGGAATGACCATCCTTCACAACAGAGATCGAGAGACTGAAGAGACTACAAGAGGACTTTGCGGATATGAGGCTTTCTCATATTCCTCGAAGTAGGAATGGTAGAGCGGATGCATTAGCGAAAGAGGCGAGAAGGAAATGATCTACTTTTTCCCATATAGATCAGACCAGGCCAGACGGAGATGCTCCTAGGAGGATCGATTCGTCTGATCACCACTTGATCTAGTTTTAGATGGGCGGCGGACAAAAAAAAAAAAAAAAAAAAAAAAAGATAACATCAATATTAACTAAAACAATTCGACATTACTGTTCTCTTTTTTTTTATAAAATCGATTCAAACTTACATTCATGCATCTAACAGACAATTTGTAAATAGAATTTCATTCATGCACATTCTATCTGCTTATTAAAAATCAAAGTTAATTTATGATTTGTGTTCAAGTTTTATGAAACCAATATTTTCTTTTACAAGTTCATGCACATTTATCAGACCAACATACCACATGTTGGCCTATGTTTCAAAATTGATAAAATAAATTTCGTATGACTACATGGATAGTCAAAAAAACTATAATTGTTTTCTTATACATTTTCATTTAATTCACACTTCTCTTTATTTTTTTTTCTTAGCTTCCTATTTGACACAAGAATAGAAGACAAGATAATGCTATAAGTATGGTGAAGTGAATGATTATAACTCAAAATAGAACAGTTTCCATTTTGGTATAGATTGTTAAACTCCATCATTAAAATCATACCTTATATTCCTTTTTATGGGAAAAGAAAAACAGAAGGTTCATTGATATAGTATAAGTCAACTGACAACGACACTTTAACCAACTTCACCTATAAAAGTCAAACAAAAAAACTCATTCCGTTTCGAATGGGCGTGCAACTGTACGCACTTTGGGAATTGAGACTTTTCTTTCTCTTTTGTATTTCCCCCAGAAAATGAGAGAAAGTATCTAAAGGAAAGACATCTACACGTTCTTTTTCCCGTCTCGTAGGTAACGCATATCATGAGCTTAGCTGTGTTTCGTCTGGCAAATACTCTTCTTTTACTTTTAAGCTTCCTTTTTATAATTTGCCGTACGCTTCAGGTTCTCCTCTAACTTTGTGATCTGGTTGATCTTTGATCCTCTTATCAACGTTCTTGCCTTTGATTATTTGATTAGGATCCAATATCAAATTCAAGAAACTCTCTGTTTTGGTTTTTTTTTTTTTTTAAATCTTTGATTTGAGGATTAATTTTTCAAAAAGGGATTTAGTGTGAAATGCGAGTATGGAGAAGAAAAGAGAGATCTGTGAGTACAGAGAGAGACTTGACAAGACCTTGTCGTCTCCTGACCTCACCAATCACCAAACTCTTAAAACATTAATCAGACAACAACTGAATCAAGGTTTGTGTTTTGTTCTTGTTCTTGTTGTGTGTTTGCTATATAATTTCTCTCTTACCTCGTTTTAATATTGTTTTGTTTTTCTCAGAATGTACTGTGAATGTATTGGATCAAAGAGTATCTGATTTATCTAGTATACTTGAGAAGCTTAGGAGTGCATCAACAAAGGATCAAGAGTTGTCTCAATCAACCAACGAAACATCGTACGCTGATTGGAAAGTAATGTTTTTATTTACTTATTTCCTTAATAAAGATTTTTTTTTGTTATTGATTTGAAAACAGAACTGTCCTAATGTAGCAAGGTATTTTTTTTTCCCTTTTATAACAGGTGAAACATGATCATGAAGATTGTCGTGTTATGTACCGTGAAGGACTTGAAGGAAGTCCATTTCACACATTGCTCGTTGAAGGTTACATGGATGGCCCTATCCAAGACTGTAAGTTTTGGACTGATTGATATTTTTAGAAAAAAAAAACATTTTCATTTGGGTTATAACTTATAACTGCTTTTTTTTATGCAGGTTTATGTGTATCATGGGAATCATCACTCTACGAGAAATGGTCAGAATGCTTTCTCCTTCTGTCTATATGAGTATTTTGTTTCACTTGTCTGAGATGGAAACTAATGTTGTTTCTATGTCTTAAAGGTGGCCAAACTCTGCATTTCCAGCATTTAAGATATTACAAACTAAAAGTTTGCAAAAGTCTCGGTTCAATGAGCAGATATGTTTAGTGAGGTCAGTTTCACAATTTGCAAAGTCTTTTTTTTTTGGTGTTAAGCTAATCTAAATCTGATTTTGTTTTTTTTTTTTTTGGGAAGAAAGGATGAAAGTACCGTGGCCAATGGCAAACAGAGAAGCTCTTGTGCAGTTTTTCTTGTTCGAATATTTTAAAGACGGTTTAGTCATCATTCTACTAAACACGGTAAAAAAATGTGTTCATCTTAATGATTTTTGACACTTTCCTAAAATACTCTCTGTTAGTATCATCTTTAGATCTCAAAATCAGAAGTAGAGAACTTCGAAAAGAACGGTGTATATGAATCAGCAGATGCTGTGAGGGTTGATTTATTAGGTGGAGTTGCTATACAAAAGGTTTCTCCAGAGAGGAGTTACTTAAGGTGAGTGTTAGTAAATAAATCACATTTTGAAAATGGTCTTTTGGTTAACTGTGAAACTTTTGTAGATACATATCGGAGATTGATATAAAGCTTGACTTGGTCCCTCCATCTTTAATAAATTTGGTGTCTAGGCAGCTTCTTGGCAACGGTTTCAAACTTTTCAAGAAGGTTAATTTTATAAAGTTTGTTTTAAGTTCATAGAATAATTAATACTGATTTTTGGATGTGTGATATTGTGGTGTGTCATTTGAACGTGTAAACAGACTATTGGTTCGGTGGCTAAATCTGATGATTACAGCAGAGTTTTAGCTGATCCATTGTATACTATGATACGTCAAGCTCTGTATTCAACTGATAAAAGTGATGTCCGTAGCCAAGAAGGTCGAGTTTGTGAAGAGAAAGAAGGACATTACAAAACTGAACCTTCACATTGCAAAAGAGATGTTATTGAGATTGAGGAAGAAGAATGTGATGAGAATAAAAGTGTTTCTTCTTCCTCGGAAGAGGAGGATGAAAGTTACATTGGGAAGACCTACAATGGTAAAACACTTTTCTGTTTAAGTCCAGAGGTGAAGCAAGCTTTAGGGACATTGGAGAAAGTGATAACAATGGTTAGAAAATCCAGAACAGATAATAATAATAAGACATTATCAACCTCTTTAGAAGAAGAAGAAGAAGCATCATCATCACCAAAGCTGAATTTAGAAAGAAATGAGATTGTTTCAAGTAGCAAAGTTTGTATTCAAGATCCTAACACTGAGGTTCTTGATGAAGCAGCGTCACTCACACATTATCACCACAACAACAACAACAATAGGTAAAAAAGTTAAAGAAGATCAAGAAATTATATTTTTTTTATAGTGGATTAAATGATATAGACCTTTTTGAGTTGTTTTACAGGCGAAGTGGATCAAGTTCTTTTGCAAGAGAAGGCAACAAAATAGCTCCTACCACAACCCCAGAGGTCACTAGGATAACAATCTCACAAGCCACAACTCTTTTCAGCCAAACAGAAGAGAATAGTGACAACAAACCAAGCGGGCTAAATGGAGGTAAGAGCTCGGTTCTGCAGAGGAAACGTAGACCGCGCTGCTTTGGAATCAGGTCATGGATGAGAAGAACCTGAAAATAGGGATCGTTAAAGCCAAAGGTGTTTGTGTCTTTAAAAGTTGCAAAGAGTTTATAGCAAATACTACAACATATAGTCTATATGTATACAAGGAAACATCAGATTGTTTCTGGTCACACATTGGGTAGTTTAAGATTTGCAACAACTACATATAGTTTATCCCAAGTTTTTAAAGTGCAGATTAAAACCTAGTATTATATTAAAATGTCTTTCTTGAAACTAAGTATCATTTATAAAGTGTTTTTAGTTCAATCAAAATAAGCATTTTCTATTAGCCACATATTTCTTTTTAGAATCAATCGCCGTATATATTAAAGGAGAAGCATTACAACATTTTTTTATATTCACGTGTCATCACCACAATCATTCTTAGAATCCTTAGAAAAATTTGTTGGTCCATCTAAATATATAATACTCCCTCTGTTCCTAAAAGATCTATATTCTAATTTTTTCACACTTTTTAATAAAACACAATAAATTTGCATAGTTTTTTGTATTTATCTTCTTTCCACATTTTTAAACCAATGAAAAATCACTTAGTGCAATTAAGTTTTTTGAAGTTTACAATTAGTTAATAAAAATTGCATTGAAAATGTAAAAAATGGATCTTTTAGAAACAAATTTTTTTCCTAGAATATGTATCTTTAAGGAACGGAGGGAGTAAGTTTTTTTATTAAATTGATCATAAATGAACTATTAATGTTCTTCATTGTTTCTTTAAATAAAAATAACGGAATTTCAAAATATGACTAAAGTATTTATGACAATTAATGATTTAAAAAGTAAAGATTTGATAAAAAAAATAGTGTATTCTCTATCATTTAAAATAAATTAAAAATTACATTAAGTATATAATAAAAATTTAGATTTTTTGTATATGTTATAATTTAAATTTTCATAAAACGACTATAAATGACTAAAGTTGTCACATTGAAATTTTTGAGATCAATGATTTAAAATTCAATAGAAATTTTATTTGGGAAAGATCTATACAAAACCATGATCATCACAAATTCCCTACACAACAACAATTGTCAAAAAAACTCAATAAATCCTTTGTCGCTGAGAATGTTTTCATCCACTTCCAACAGTCGGTCCGTTATTTTTTCAATGTTCTAGAGTCATGTTTCCTAATTTTGCAATCACCATATGCTTTTTCCCTGTGTTTTGGTCTCATTTACACGATATCGCAAATTATTTCCCGATAGATCACCAATATTTAGATAACTCCAACTCAAACACACTTAACTCTGGAGTTTTTTCTGGATGTGCTCTCGAAAGGTAAGTACATCTTGGTGATATAGGTAGTGATTGTTTTTTTTAATCTTTCCATACATCACAAATCGGGATGTTCAGCTCACGATATTCAAAGAACGCAACGTCCTCGTTGCACCACATGAGAGGTCTCAAGACGCCTCTTAAGTTAGAAACAAGATGGTTAACCAACTCTAACACTATTTGTGACTCCTCGACCACCCACGGCTAATATGCCATCCATGCCCACTTTTTCGGTCCGTGAATCCATCTCGTTTCAACGGTCGGTTCGTTAATTCTTCAACGCTTTAAGGTCATGTTTGCTAACCCTACAATCACCACATGACATTTCCTTATACTTTGACCTCATTTACACGGTATCACAAATCACTTCTATAGGTCATTTATCCTTAAACTACTCTAGTTTAAACACACTTAGTTTTAGAATTTTTTTAGATATGCTCCCGAAAAAATAAATGCATTTTGATATTGATAAGGGAAATTTGGCCCTATGACTACAAAAAAAAACAGAAATTTGAAAACTAGCCAAAAGTACACTCTCTCTCCAACTTTCTCTTCCTATATCTCTCCTCCCTCTTATTACCAAACTAATTTTACTTTTTTTTTTGGTTAGTACACAAATAAGCCCTTTTGATAACATAAGTAACTAAATCAATTTTCTTAAACTCTTCTATATATCACAACTCGGGATATTAAACCTTTCATAATTTCTTGGCTAGACTAATTTTTTTTGTTAAACCCACCTCCTCACCTTGAGAGGGTAGATATGAATATACAACACCTGATTCTAAACTATATTATCATATGAATCTAATTTCCATCTACATAAAAACGAAAATACACATACCGGTCAAACTGTAAATCAAAATAATTCTTTGAACAAACCGGTTCGGTATTTGCATAAACCGATATAAACCAAGAAACCCTAATGCGTTAATGAATCCGGCCCGCGTAAAAAGAGAGAGAGTTAATAAAACCCTGAAGAAGAGAGACTCATTTCCACTTACGTCCTCTATCTTCTTCGCCGTCGACGGTTAGGGTTTGTTTTTCGCCAAATCAACGCTACCTGATTCCCATGGAAGGTTCGGCCGATCAAACTACGCAAGCGATTTCGAAACTATCCATGGATCCTTCTACTACCTCCGAGTCTGGTGCTGGTGATGGATCTAAAGCTCCGAGTAAAAAGTAACGTTTTCTTCTTATTGTTTCGTCTCTTTCGTATAGACATTGGAATCGATTGTAACGGAATCTAATATAGTTGAAAATCGTTTACAGTGCTCTGAAGAAGGAGTTGAAGATGAAGCAGAGAGAGGAAGAGAGGAAACGCAAGGAAGAGGAAAAGGCTAAACTAGTAAATCACTCTTACGATTCGAATCGTTTTATTAGAGATAGTGATATGAAAATAATTAGGATAATGACTAGAATAGCTTAGGATTGTCTATTTGTAGAAATAGTTCTCTATGTGAATGAATACAACACAGACTTTTACAGATTGTTATTTGATTGTTGATGCAGGCTCCAAAGGCAAGCTCACAGAGCCAGAAGGCAGTAGCAGCAGATGATGAGGATATGGATCCAACGGTATATACAAATCGATTTAGTCCTTTCACATTATCTTATACAATGCAGCTATGTTTATGTTTATGTTATCTTTTGCAGCAATACTTTGAGAACAGATTGAAGTATCTTGCGGCTGAGAAGGCTAAGGGGGAGAATCCATACCCTCACAAGTTTGCTGTGTCAATGTCTATTCCTGAGTATATTGAGAAGTATGGTAGTTTGAACGATGGGGATCATGTTGAAGATGCTGAGGTTTCTCTAGCTGGTATGTTTTAAACAGCTGAATGTGCCATTGTTTAAGTTTTTATATAGCTAAACGCTGAGAAGGATGTTTATTCGTTTGTTTGAATCATTGCTAGGGAGGATAATGAACAAGCGATCTTCCTCTTCCAAGCTCTTCTTCTATGATCTGCACGGTGAGGATTCCAAGGTCCAAGTTATGGCTGATGCAAGGTGAATGCTTTGTTTAATGGATTGTCTTTGTTTTGCTAACTATTGATAGATTTGCTTAGATATATTATTGTGTTTTTCTACTTCAGTAAGTCAGGATTGGATGAAGCTGAGTTTTCAAAGCTCCATGCGAATGTTAAGCGTGGTGATATTGTTGGTGTCACTGGGTTTCCAGGTTTGTGCAGCCTCTATGTTTTCTATTGTTCATTATTTTAGCCAATTTTATATTTTTTCATCTTTTCACTGTTCACGTTAATCTAATTCCAGGAAAATCCAAGAAGGGAGAGTTGAGTATCTTCCCACGATCATTCATTGTTCTGTCTCATTGCCTCTACATGATGCCGAGAAAGGCCGAGAATGTTGATGGAAAGGTAAAGCAAATCCACTGTGGCTGCTATATTATTACCTTAGTGATTTACCTTCTTTTGCTCTAACCTGTTTCATTTTTCTTTGTTACGTAGAAACCTGAGAACTCTTTTCCAGGTAAACCGAGAAAGGCTGAGAATGTTAGTGCAAAGGTAAGCTAATCCACTGTGGCTTCTACTACTTTAGAGTCACCTTATTTTGCACTAATCTTTTGCACTAACCTTTTCATTTTTCTTTATTACGTAGAAACCTGAAAAGTGGATTCCAGGTCAACCGAGAAATCCTGATACATATGTTCTGAAAGATCAGGTAATATTAATTTTTCAAAAGCTTAAAGATTGTTGTATACTCTTGCATTACGCTGTTTTGGATTATGTTGTCTCTGTTATTCAGTTTCCGGGCTAGTGTTTGATGTTTTTTGTCTTTCTGTTAGGAATCTCGTTATCGCCAGCGTTATCTTGATCTGATGTTGAACGTGGAGGTTCGCCAGATATTCAGAACCAGATCTAGTATCATTTCCTACGTCCGCAGATTCCTTGACAGTAAAAGATTCTTGGAGGTTTCTATTGTTTCTCCTTTTATTGCTAAATAATAGTTTCATTCTTGATTCTTCTCAATTTCAAGTTCTCTTATCCCTTCATTTGTTGGTTCTTAAAATAGGTCGAGACACCTATGATGAACATGATTGCTGGTGGAGCAGCTGCTCGACCGTTTGTGACACATCACAATGATCTAGACATGAGGCTGTACATGCGTATCGCCCCTGAGCTCTTTCTGAAGCAACTTATTGTCGGTGGCTTGGACCGTGTCTATGAGATTGGAAAGCAATTCAGAAACGAGGGTATTGACCTGACGCACAATCCGGAGTTCACCACTTGCGAGTTCTACATGGCTTTCGCAGACTACAATGACCTGATGACAATGACTGAGGATATGTTAAGTGGCATGGTTAAGGAACTAACTGGTGGATACAAAATCAAGTATCATGCTAATGGTTATGATAAGGAGCCAATCGAAATTGACTTCACTCCTCCATTCAGGTTTGAGTCAATCAATATTTTCTCATTGATTAAACAACAATGATAAAGCTTGTTTGTTTAATTATCTATGTGATTTTTGTTTTGGTAGGAGGATTGAGATGATAGGAGAGTTAGAGAAGGTGGCTAACCTTAACATACCAAAGGATTTGGCTAGTGAAGAAGCCAACAAGTACTTGATTGATGCATGTGCCAGGTTCGACGTGAAATGCCCTCCTCCTCAGACAACAGCTCGTCTGCTAGATAAAGTAAGTAAAACCTTCTGTCGCTCTTTTTCATTGTCTGAGACGTGTAGCATATGAATATTGGAATCTGAGATGTTGTCTCTTTCGCCACAGCTTGTTGGAGAGTTTCTGGAAGTGACATGTGTGAACCCGACTTTCATCATCAACCATCCCGAGATCATGTCTCCTTTGGCTAAATGGCATAGATCAAACGACGTTTTGACTGAGAGATTCGAGCTGTTTATCAACAAACATGAAGTAAGTACAAAGCTTATTATGAATTTGATTCCCTCACACATCTTTTCTATAGAGTTTTTTCACTTTAAACATGTTTATAACTTTGATGGCAGCTCTGCAACGCATACACGGAGTTGAACGATCCTGTTGTTCAGCGTCAACGGTTTGCTGATCAACTAAAGGATAGACAATCTGGAGACGATGAAGCGATGGCATTGGATGAGACTTTCTGCAATGCATTAGAGTATGGATTGGCTCCTACAGGTGGGTGGGGATTGGGTATTGACAGGCTTGCCATGCTCTTTACAGACTCACAGAACATCAAGGTCAGTCTATTATCTCAATCTTTTGTTATTAAGTAATTGTTTTTTGGACCAAACTCATGAATTGGAAAATAAAAACATGTTGCAGGAGGTTATTCTCTTCCCGGCAATGAGGCCACAAGACGATCCAGCATCTGTTAAAGGTACGATCTAACTGTTAACTGAGTAACAATAATACGTGGTTAACTTTCTCACAACTTTATAATGTTACAGCGTCTTTGGAAGCAGAGAAGAAAGGAGAGTAGAGCACAGTTTTCATCTCTTTTGCCTCTAAAGTTTGGTAGTCAAATTGCTATTACGCAACTTTAATTGCGATGTACGAACAACCCAGATTTCTACAAACAGCTTGTTATTATCAAATACCTTTGTATGACTTTTTTGGATCTCGTTTATTTTCTTTAATCGTAATCTCGTTCTCATATTAAATAGCCTAAGATTTTGTGTCTATAAACTAAAAATCATATAAAAGTATTATACTAACGTGTTATTGTCGAAGTGGTTGAAGTGGCATGCTGTTGATAACCTCTGTTTATTAGACAGTCAAACAACTTTTGTGGGTTGTAATTGGGTCTCAAATCAAATAATATCTCACTAGACAGCCAATAAGCCAACTCATCTCTCCTCTCTGGCACTCACCAGCACATGTTTCATTGTGGCTCCTACCAGATACTTTACATATCTATTTGTTTATGCTAAAACAATAAAATAAAGAAAATTATTAAGCAAAAAATTCTTCATACCAAGTAATATATTTTTCTTTGGCAGTAGTTCTTATTTGGAATGGTTATGATGATGATAATGATACTATTCAAGTGGAGTACCTACCAAACAATCGACACACAAAAGCACCACCAAGTAAAGAATATAAGAGAAATCCTTGCGAGTGAAGAAAAGGTGGTGGTGGGTTCTCAAGTCTTTTTCTTTTGTTTCCCACTTTATGATTCATTTTTCCATACACCACAAATAAATTAAAAAATTGAGACTTCATATATCTAATTACAATTTTTATAACCCAAAAACCAACCTCCCCAAAAATAATTTTTTTAATATATTTATAGAAAACCCCACAAACCCTCTTTCATATTCCTTTGAAGAATGATTTGAACATTGCTGATGATGATGTTCCTCATTTTTCGTTTCTCTTCCAAGCCTTCATTCTTCTCTAAGAACCTGTGAATCCTAACCTTTGTGCATGTTTACAGATACACTTAAGAGACTTGTCTCTAATAATCTCTTCTGGTTTGTGAATTCATCAGCATCTGCTTAAATATGAGTCTTTGCCAACAGCTCCAAGCATTCGACATGCTACTTCCAGCAACTTCCCTGTTGATTATTTAACAAGAAACCTTTAATTATGATGTCATGATCACAAAATCACAATCAATTAATTCCAATCACAATCTCCTGTCACTAAATTAAAATATTTGGAAACGTGATAACATGCTTTAGGTAATGTTGATGAAGCTTCTAATGATTCTTACTTCTGTTTGATATCTTCCAATACTATTCTAAACACTCTTTACTATTACTATTAGCACATGATTAATACCTTGAGCATCAATCATGTAATTAAACTCGAAATTCACAGATTCTTTTGATCACAAGAGCTACACAACTATCCTCAAAAACGATTATAATCATGTTCCCTACCATTTCAAGCCGAATCTATATCAATTCACCAATACCTAATGACTTAACCATTGTGACTATGTGAAATCGAATCATCAAAACCGAATCTATAAACTATAAACACAACACATATTCAATCAGATAAAAGATAAACCGTACCTCTTCTTGGCTGAACAACTTTCTTAACCGGACTACTCTGTTTCTTAACCGTCCCTTCCTCCTCAGGGAACAAAACACCATCAATCCCCTGAACCGAAATCCGACCGTCCGTATAAATATCCGGATCAAACAAGTACGCAGACCGGTCACCAGAACCGAACTTAACCGAACCATCAGCTTCCTTCGCCGCAACCTTGTGAGGAAAACGCAGCGTTTCATAGTTCACCTTCCCAAACCTCCTAACCGAATTATACATACTCTCCTCCGTCTGATACTCCGGTATAATGTGGTAATACACTATCTGCTCCGGAGCCCCGGGCTCGCTCAGCTGATCAGTCGTCAGCTTCGCCATAGCTTCGTCGTTGGGAGCCAACACCGTGAGAACGTAACCTTCCGACACCAACCGTCCCATCTCCGTCGCGAGCGACGTCAGGTTCACCAGAATATCCGCCATCTCGTTGTAACCGCCGTAATGCAATAGCGTGTGGATGAAGTCTTTGACCTGAGCCTCGCCGTTGAAGTGGTGACGTGGACCTCCGGGTCCCGGCGCCGGCGCCGGAGCTAGCGACGGACCTGGAGCCATGGCGGACTGGATCGGTAGCGCAGGCGGAGCTCCAGCGGGTACGGCGGCGGCGGCGGAGGATTTTTTGAGACGGTTTGTTCTCGGGTCGACCTCCGGAGCTCCTTCGGGTAACACGGCGGAGATTGACCGGAGGTTTCGCCGCCGGTTGAAATCTTCTTGGACGGAGCGGGGGATCAAAAGCCGTTCGATCCCGTGGATCAACCCGTCGGGTCGGGTCAAATCATCGGGTCGGGTTATCACGGCGGAGTTCACTAGTTTCATTCCGTTACCTTTGGTTCTGCTCAAATGCAGCACTTGGTCGTTTCCCAACGTGACGTGTTTGACCCGACCCGAATTGTCCTCGGGCCATTGGTGGGATCCGACTCGGGTGGGGATAATGTGGGATAAGAGCAGCGTCTGGAGAGATTTGAGGTTACCTGGTTGGAGCAAGAAGCGTTTGAAATCCGGGTCGAGGTCACGCTCTAGTGCTTCATTGCGTGGGGCGAAAATGGTAATATTGTGACGGCCTACGGCGTCTTCGAGTCTCTGGAGGAGGAGGGCTTTCTCGACGAGCTCCGCGAGCTCGGTGTAACGAGAGTCGAGGAGAGCGACGAGGACTGAGTTTGAGTTTATTTGACCAGACCCGGTTTTGTTGTGGGGACCCGGTTCGTGGCTTTGTGGTAGAGCTGATGCAGTGACGAGGAGGAGGAGGAAGATAGTTAGAGAGGAGCAGCCATAGATGCAACGATCCATGGTGCTTTTGGAAGATTGTGTGATAATGCTTGCGGAGAATATAGTTTGTTTTCAGTGATTAATTGAAGCGTCGGTGATCGGAAAGTGGGAGTGAGAGACAGGCAAGAAGAAGGAGAAAGAAAGATATGAGAGAGATGTGTGAGTTTGGCTGGTCTTCTTGTCTATGTTGTATTGTGTATCAAAACAAGTTTGGGTTTCGGACAGGCTGGTGGTGGGGACCACACGGTGTCTGAAAACTTTAATTATTTTTGGCTGACTTTGGCTTTTTATGCTTCGGCTCGACTCGGCTCGATTTCAATTACGATTTTATTATTTTCTGGCTAAATCTTTTGTAATAATCATTGAATAAACACCACTTTGTTTTTGTCTTTATTAGCCTTTTTTATAAACAACAAAAAGGTGTATGCTTATATTAATTAAATCCTTCGGATAAATTCTATTTTACCAATTGAATAACTATTCAGGTTGATTAGTAATATAGGTATCGGATGGTCAATGTACAGCAGAGGAATGGTGATTGTACTAAAACATTATATAAATTTACGTTTATTTATATATGATTGCTGGCTTGCAGCTGTATATAAAAATTAAAGAAAAATAGAACATTGAATAAAAAAATTATGAATCTTGTTATTTATGATCAGCTGTAATAGCCAATTGAAAAACATCACTATAAAGTCTATAAAACGGTAGAGAGTGAAAGTGATGGTGTTTGAATTTTTCTTTTAAGTCATAAAATTCTACTATAAATACAAAGACTAAGACAATCCGTGAACTCATTAACATGATAATTAAAGGAGAGTTAACTTAGTCGTCTTCTTATAGTTAATGATGTGGTGATACTTAAATAGATGGTGAGATTAAGAAATCCAACCAAACATAATAGACATGTGAAGCTAAGCCGAAGAAGAGGGAGGACCACGTGGCTTGAATTGAAGCTGTCGGTGTATGACCTAATACAACCATCATTTTCTTATATTTATTACACCTTTTCGGTTGCTACGTTAAGTTCGTGAATCGTGTTATGTCCCACCTCATTTCAACTTACCTGTTTCGACCACATGCTTCAACTTGGAAGGTGCACTTACGCGTTTGGACTTCATAGATTGTTTAAGTTTAAACGTATTTCATTATTCCCGCGTAATGAAAAGATAAGCTTTAAGGCCCAATCAAATTAAAACACATCTACCTGAAGTTTTGCTTATACTAGGCCCAAGTTGTCTTATTGCATTAGGGTCTCGTTAATATCAATGGGCCTAACTCGTTACTTTCTATTTTACTTTATAAACCCATCCAAGATTCCGTAAGTTACGAGTTTTAATTGTTTTTTTTGTGTGGATCCATTTTTGCTGACGACCTTTTGCTTTTCACTTGTTACATATATTAAGAATTAAATTTCCGAATCTTTGAATAATAAAGAAACTGTAAGGTCCAAATTAGTAAAAGTTGCCGAAAGAGCCGAAAGATAAACTAAACATATAAAAAGGTTTAAAACAAAAAAGGCCTCATGATTTTTTTATTTTCTTTGGGGGTTTTAATGGCCTGATGAATTGTATATTAAGAACTGACAACCAAAACCTTTTTTTTTTAATAATAAAAGCATCATGATAGTTGAATTCTCAACTCTCAAGCATCATATTTGGATACAAGAGGCACGAATTCATCATGTAGTATAGCTATAGAATATCTTATACTATAGTTCACTTATATGATTTGTTAAATGATCTCTATGTTATAATAATAAAATCTCTTCTTTGTGTTTCAAACTCATCCCTAGTTGTGACAAATCTCAGCTGTACGTAAGTCCACATGTTTGATCCAAACAGAAGTTTCATGTCAAAAAGTAATGGTTGAAGATTGTTTGGGACCTTTGGGTGTTCAGTTTACCAAATGAAGTATAAACAGTTGCATGATGAATTGATGTTTACCAGATAATGGGTGAGACAAATAAGGGTCACATCAAAGCTGAATTAGTGAAGATTTCTACCAAAAAACACCTGAATACACAAACAAAACAGAAAAAAAAACGAGACATGGAAAGGGAAAGAAGAGTAATTAGAGAGATGCAGAAGAAGAAGGTCGTGGTAGCAACACCTGAAATTAATGCTAAACACTTACTTCAAATGAGTTCTGTCGTCCCCCACATCAGCTTCACTGCCTCACCAGTCACCATAACACCTACGAATTAATTAAAAAACACTTTAGGAAAAGGACCGTTTCCACGAGAAGAGACTTCCACTTTGTTAAAACCCTAATCTAATTTTTACCCTTTCACTCGTAATTAATTTAACTACACTCCTCTAATTATTTACCACATCAAATGATTTTCAGGATTAGTGTTCTATAAATCAGAATGGGTGGCTCTAATATGTTCGCTAAGTCGACAAATAAGACATAAATTATACTATTTTTTAAAAAATGGTTTAGATATTATTTTTTTACCTTCTCTCTAAATATTCAAATGGGTTCAAAAACATAAACTTATATTATGTTAATTGTGACTTAATTTTATATAGCAGGTATGTCGAAACTGAAACATGTTAATGTCCCATCCCCTTCTCTTTACCACTTGACCACAATCACCAGTCAAATGGTTTACATATTCAAAAGATCAATCCATTCTCATGCAATCAATAATCCAAGCAAATTTTGAATACTGTTTGGTAATAATTAAACATACAAACTAAACCCAAAATCCAAATCCACATCTAATTTGAACTAAATACGGTTAAGATCCTTCCATTATACTCATCTCCCGAATTATTTATAGGGAGTTGCGTTAATTTTCTTGTATGCATTTTCATTTCATGTCATGTCACTTAATCAACAAACACATGATTCAGTTTTGAAAATTTCATCTTTGATGATCACAAAAATCCCATTTAACATTTGAAATAAAACCTCGCACCAAAGATCAATCGAACAATTCAAGAGACATTGCTTTGCATACACAATCAAGAAACAAGAACTATATTAACAAAGCTGTTTATATAACTCCTCCTCCTCCTCCACCTCTGCCTCTCCTCCTCGGCTAAAACGAAAAAGACTTCGAAACTTTCGGAGAAGACACAGACTCTCTCTGCGACGGACTTCTCCAAAACCCCGCACCATAAAACCTGTTCCACATCTCCTTCTCCAACGCCAACACCGCCTCATCGTCCTCCTCCGTCTCCACGTCCGTCGCAACCCCCGCCGCCACCGGTTTTCCGAAGTACTTAAGATCCAAGAAATCATCATCATCATCCTCGTCCGAGACGTCGTTGCTATCCACGGGATGTATCGCGAACTCGGAGTTCTGAAACACCCTCGCGTCCGTCGGAAGCGGCGGGAGGATCCCGTTCTTGACGAGCCGTTTACGGCGGCGGATACGGAGAGCGCGGCGGCAGATACCTCGCGGGACTTTGTAGACCGCGAGGACGAGGAGGTTGACGAGTCCGCAGGGACAGCAACAACACACGGCGGCGCAACTCGCCGTCGTGCCGCCGCAGAATTCTGCCGGAGTTGAACCGCCGCAAGTGGCGGCGGTCGGAGAAGGTGAGGAGAGGCTTCTCTGGAGGAGAGGGTGTCTTCTGTGGCTACGAGACGGAGATGACGATGGAGTGTCTGAAGGTTTCGTCCTTGAGATCTGGTTAGGATCGTAACGTAACCTCGAGTTCATAGTTTTGGTCGGAGAGAGAAAAAAAAAAGAGATTTATTACAAAACTCAATTTCTTTTCAGGATCAAATGGTTCAGACCGGTTTAAAACGCAACACCACGGAGTCTCTCCGGTGATGGCGAATATTAAAAACAGTCGCGGGGCTGATACGAGAAGAAGGCCCGAAGGAAAAATAAAAGAATGTTTAGTGACTTTGTAGAAGAAAAAAAATTATTACACAACACCAAACTGATAAATTTAGACAGGACAAAGTTTTGGTTCCAATCGTTTTTTTTTGAGTTCTGAACAAAGAAAATTAGAAATGCTTTCTCGGGAGAGGTTGTCCGAGATGGAGGGAGAGAGAGAGGTTTGGTTTGATTGAAGATGGAGAAGAAGAAGAGGGAGATGAATGAGAGATTGTGGTGTGTTTATATATAGAGAAGAAATAAAGTTCTAATTCATTTATTTGCTATTTGTTATCTTCTTCAGGTTGGTGCTTTCTCTGATCACATTAGTACATTTTTTTTTTTTTCGTGCTGGATTTGTACTTATCAACATCGTCATCATGTTAACTTATTAGTTGTAAAAAAAATGTTTTGACTAAAAAAAGGTAGCTGTAAAAAGTAAAATAAAAGTTTTTGACTAGAAAATATCTACAACTGGAAACAGAAATCTTTTTCTTAAAAATAAAAAAAAAATCTAAAATGTGATTATTCATATATATGCAAATAAGTATCAGAAAGAGAAGAAGCATATCCTTCGTCTATTAAAATCAAAATAAAATGATGACATTTGTTGTTGAAGAATTAGTGATAATAATAATGATTACCTTATCTATCATATAATATAAGTTAATACGAGCGTATGTGTACTAAGAATCTGACAGTATCTGGATTAATCTACTATTAGACGTAGTCTTCTCGCAGCTGTTAGATGTTGATTGGTTGGTTTTTTTTTTGTATATTCTTATCTTCGTCAACGAACTGATGCGTTGTAAGAATATATAATCAAAAACAAACAAAAATCAAGTGTGGCGTACCACTATCGATTGAAGAATTATATACCATTGTTATATATGTTATCTTAAAAAGTTATTTTCTTATGCTCTGGGACTAGTTCATGCCATTTAAGACACAAAGTTTTGAAAAAGGTCAATGCAAGTACGTACTCATCTTGAAAATATTCGCATCTGAGCAAGGTAAAATACTAAAATAAATGATGAATTGTTTTGTGAATAAATCCCTTTCCTTTACCTCTTGATTACTTTCACTGAACGACCGAGATACGAGTGCTTTTCATTACATGTTTTGATGAATACAAGATGCATCATGCATCTAAAATATATATCATCAAAGAAAACAACGTGGTAAAAGACATATCTTTGGCGGGAGATAATCAATATACCACTTAAACCTAAAATCAGATTAACCTTTATTTTTAAGTTCGATAAATAATAATTACAGCTACACACTGCCACAATCTACTTAAGTAAAGCCTTACAAAAATAGAAACATCAGTTAGCGTAAGAAAGATTCCTTTGAACTTTTATATTACTCCAGAGATATGTAAAAGCATATCGTAATATAATGACTCCAACACACTAGAGACGAGAAGAATCAATCCATAAGTGGGTAAAAGTAAAATACATTAGAACAGGCTATAAATTAAGTAAGAACGAACAGTTGAAATGTCTTGCTTTTGAAGAGGACAATCATCACTAGAAATGGATCGGACTGGACCAGAAGATCCCTCACGACCCAAGCGTCGGTACAATGTATAGAATAAAGTCAATTCTCACATTTTACTTTTCAAAATCCTATCGGATATTCGCTGAGTGTATATACATGTCTTAGAGGGACATTTTTCTACATAGTCTCAGAGGGACTTGAACGATCGCATATGTTGTATGTACATGTCTCTGTGTATACTGAAGCAAATATTTGAGTATTTGAGTAGTGGCAGAAAAAGGTATTCAAAGCAAAGCCAACCATTGTTAGATATTTCATGTGGCTCATTTAAAAACATTTGGGTTGTATATCCTTGAACATGATAACAAGAACATCGGACCAAAACATGAACATTAAACATGATAATATGAACATTGTATGTGATCTTGTAGTCGAGTGGTAAAGAGACGATTTGTTAACATGTTCTGATCCACCTGCTATGTAAACCTGCAACACACTATTCATAAACATCCACATGGATATGAATATATGTTATGATTCATTTGTATATTCAGAAAGAGGGTATATCCAGAGATTACATCTTTTATACTCCTTCCATTTCATATTAAGTGTCGTTGTAGATAATTTTTTGCGTTACAAAATAAGTGTTGTTTTCGGTTTTCAATATAAAATTCATTAATTTTATTATGTAATTTGTTTTTTCTATTGGTTGAAATATAGTTAGGTGTATGGGTAACTGTGTTTTTATATATGAAATATGTAAAATTAATTATTTCTTTAATCTTTGTGCAGCTGTAGAGTGATACTTATAATGAAACAGAACTCCGTTTCATATTAAGTGTTGTTGTAGAGAATTTGTTGCGTTACAAAATAAGTGTCGTTTTCAGTTTTCAATACAAAATTTATTAATTTTACTATGTAATATGTTTTTTCTATTGGTTAAAATATGGTTAGGTGTATGGATAACTGTGTTTTTATATAGGAAATATGTAAAATTAATTATTTCCTTAATCTGTGTGCACAACTGTAGAGTGACACTTATAATGAAACAGAGAGAGTATATATTAGTCCAAGCCTTTACATAAACTCATAATTAATTTATCTTAAGTCAGAAAAAAAAATTTAAAACATTTATAATGTAAAACTATTTTTTCTTTAAAATAAAGTAATTCTATAATGAAGTTGTATTTTCTCCAATTTTACTTATTAATGGAGTAAAAATTAAAGTAATAAACACAAAAAATAAACATATTATTTCATTTTTTCTTTTAGACTCTATTTTCAGGAAAAATGCAATGGGGTTGGAAATGATTTCAAGGAACAAAACACACTGACATTCAATCAACACGCAATATGAAGCTTGACGATGTTGCAAGCCACCTTGATTCCATTGTAATTGAACTAGTTAACAGACCAGTTGGTCAAATATGCAACACATCGTTCGATTAGCTAGAGTGCTAGACAATATATATTTTTAATATATTGCAAACCAAAAAAAAAAACGACCGGCAAAAAGATAATGAGCGTACACATTGATTCAATCAGGACTAGATTTTAAAAGCTGCCTCCAAATTATAATTAGCACCTAACATTGATTATTTTTAGTGTGAAAGATATCCTCTCACGGCAAACTATATTCCTCTATTTCGAGGTACCTATTAACAACTTGCATGCGTCCAGTTGGGAGTCGCGAGTGGGAGCAAGCGACCAGAATCGGTATGAATTAAATAATACAAACCATGTTTCAAATTAGGTCTTCTTGCTCCAATACACATTAGTATGTGGACCCTCTCCATGCATATCCATAAATCATAATGTGGACAGAGCAAGATTCAATCAAACTCACTTTCTACTTCACCTACGCAATCTCAATATACACACCTGTATTTCTGTAATATGAGTCAGCTTCATTCTAACAATTTATACTAAAAAGTTCCTACGCTTAAAGCATTCTCACATTCATTAGCTCAAGTTCCAGAAGGCTACGAACTCTCACATCAGAAATTTGTTTTGTACTTACAATTATAAAATTGACTAATGATTTTATATGTGAAGTACTAATTAGAAGGTTATTTTCATTTAAACGATAATGCAACAACTGAGAAGATGGAGGTATTGGAGATTTGGACGTAAGAGGATAAATTTTCTGCTTGATTGATTTTTGATTGATGGTCCCTTTCGTTTTCGTGATAGAAATATATGAATCCATTGACACGTGTAACCAGTCATGAGAAAATAATAAATACAAATATCTCACATCTCTCGAAGACTCGAACTAACATGTCACCAAAGTATTTAGAAAATACAATATATAGCACTAAGATCTAGGAAGAACAAAACAAAATCATCATTGGTATATAGATAAACACACAAACGATGAGAATCACACACGTGTACATATTCCAAATAATGACGATCAAAAATCATGTTAAAGTTATAGCTGATATATTTATTTTCTTGCAATGTGTATAGCTAAAAATAGATTATTTAAAATTAAAATGTCATTAATAGTTGTATTTTTTACTTTTTAGAATTAAGTCGGTTCGGTTAAACTAATTCAAATTATTTAAGGGTTGAGTGGAGTTTAGATACCGGTTAACTGGGTTGAATATCAAGCGTCCGAGCCCGAATCAGAATCACATTTTATGGGCCTAAGAGCATCCGCAATGGAAGTTCTTAAGGGGGAATTCTTAAGGAAAAAATAATTAAATAATTGGTAGACCCTACAAAAAGTTAAGGATTCGATCCTTAAAATCCCTAAATAAGGACTGTTTCTTAGCGAATCCTTACACTATTTACGGGTCCCCAGGACACGTGGCAGCCCGCGAATGGTCATCTTTATTTTTTTCATTTTACTTTTTAAAGATAATCTGAAATATCTTTACAAAATCCGAAATGCCCTTTTTCTTAAGGACTGTTATGAGTCTCACCATTGCGGATGCTCTAAAGATACTTATGGGACTCAAAGAGACCTGAACCAAAGTGTAACTCCAATTAAGCTCTAGACATTGGTCAACTATTTCTCGAGTGGGCCGGTTCAATTTTTTATTTGTTTGTACTTTGTACCTATTTTATTATTACAGACTGAAATAAGTGTGCGACTGTGCGTGCTTGAGTTTATATTAATTACAACTTGAGTGTTTTTCTCTTTTCAAGTTTTTTTTTTTTGGTAATCTTCTTTTCAAGTTTTTTTTTTTTAACACTGTCCAACATATTAAATATATTATATACAAGTATAACTGCGTGCACATACATCGTAAACCTGTGATATGAAACCAGTGTACCAAAAAAACTAACCACCAAAATTACCGTGTCTTTTGGAAGAAGATGGATATGATCAATATTGCTAGCTCTATACTGGCCCACCATTTGTTATCTGTATCAGCTAATCTATATTTTCTTCAACACAAACATCATCGTCGTCATCACATAAATGGTGGAGGAGGCAGTTTCCAGAAATTCCATGTGTTAAAGTCCTCCTATTTGTAAAAGCTGTCAAAATCCGCAAATAAAACATCGAAAAAAATTGAACTTAGAAATATATAGTATTACCCGTTCTGAGGAGGTTGTTGTAGCAGGAAACATTCCATTGACAAGAGCATGAAGATTTGTATACGACCTTGTATCCACCCTACGATTCACAGCTTCTTTTCAAGTTTATGGATACAAAATGGGCCGGTTCTTAGACCAACAATATCGGGTGTTTTAGTGTGGTCTTTAAGGGAGGAGGGTCCACAAAAACAGCAGAACTAAGGTGCATCGTTCGTCAAATAAGGAACGTTTCAATTTGGTCCTTCTGTATTTCGTGGGACT